TGAGCTCATGGCCTGGAATTAAAATTTTGAAAATTCTATGACATGAGGTAGTACAAATTCATCAAGTTGGTTTTAGAAAGAACACTTTCAGAGATTTAAAATTTGATGTCTGTTTGAAGTTACCCAATCTAAAGTTCTAACATCTAACAAGTAATTAGCTAATTTAGCTTCTTATTTGTTATGTCATATAAAACATACCTCGTTTTAAGGAGTAGGTAGCCTCCATGTTTTGTCCGGAATGCTGCCATAATGGATCATCTGTTGCATCAATAACACCTTCAGGTAAATCCTGTGTAGTAAGACCGACACTCCATTCATACCTGAAGAGTGAGTTGTGATACCAAAAGTTAGTAATATCGTAAATAAGTATTCCTGATAGAAAATGATGCAAACACTATCAATAATAAGACATGTAAATTCATAAAATATTTTTTTCAATAAATATAAGAAAGATAGGCAAACTTTTATTGACTTAGATAAACATGATATTCAACATCTTCTTGACATTTCAAATATTACTTTTTGTCAATTATTACTGCTTATGTATAACTGTGACTTGTCTGAAAAAGTTTCCCTATTTTTGTAGCAGTCTATCAAAATCTTAAACTATTAATAGTTGTATCAGTAAATCAAAGAATCAAGAACTACCTATTTACTTTGGAAAATATAGATCAGTCAAACTGAAGAAATAAAGCATACTACCTAAACAATTAGATTTGGAATTCACTGTATCCCACAAATTGCGACATTTGGACATATATAAAATAGACTCAAACACTTTACATTCATGAATTGACACTACTGTGACCCTTTATATTAAACTGGATTTTAAAAAATATCTTACCAAAGTGGAGATAATCCTTGATGTTTAGTTATTTTCCATTTTGCCGACAGAAAGGTCTTGGAAGGTGTAAACTCTACATCCATGTCGTCAGAAAGATCAATGATATCAGATATTACGATTAAGGTATTTCTGTTATCTATAAATAAAACAATGAGTTACAGATTAATACAAAAGCATAATTCCATTATAATATTCAAATTTTTTGAGTAAAATGCTTCTTAAGGTTATTTCATTAAAATGGTAACTATTCTAGTATTGATATCAGATATACATCATTCAACATAAAAAAACAAGAGCCTATAGTATAACTAAAATTGCTAATGGTAAACAAATTGTGAAAACACTCAACAAAGACTAGCAGGATTCTGCTAAATTTATTCACTCTGGACTTAGATTGACTTAAAGGTTGACATACGGTATAGACACCTGTCCATTGATGAAAACTGTATATCATTTGATTATTTTTGTCATCGGATTGCTGTCACACCCAACATCCCCTTTAATGATATCTATTCCACTGCAATCCCGATAATTTACCTGCGGTCACATCAGAACATGTATCTCCGTTCAGATGACAACGTTTATATTTTGGTGAACAAATACAATGACCAAGGCAAGTCAGAGCCGTGCAACGTCTTATCAGATCCAAGTAACCTCCAGGAATAAGTTGAAACTTGTTATGTATCATCGGACTTCTTAATCCAACCTGTATATTAAATAAGTTTTCCATTTAGTCAATAATGTTTTATTTCTTAGATTTTTTTTTTACTTTAGGTAATCTACAAACAGTAATCAAATCTGGATTCTTAAATCAGCAATTTGTAACCATCATTGATTCAGTGCCATTTAATGATGTTGGTTTCTATCTGGTTGAAATTAACCAATTTTTCTAAACTTTTCACACTGTTATTTTCATAATTAAGACAAATTTACATAAAAGAGCTTCTCTTAAAGGGAGTGCTGGCAACACTGTAGTATTGCGTTAGTCATATTTTCAAAGCCCATATTCATCTTATACCTAGTGAAGCCAGTGTTATTGTCAAATGTATGTATTACCTTATTTACTGCCCAAACGCTGATAAAAACATGATCGTAATTCTTCAATAACTGAGTAGAAACAACAAAGAATTGCAGAGGGCCTTCATCCAAATGCTGAATACCGGAATCGTTGTGATGAAATTCCATTGGCGAACCGGGGACCTGAAATCATCAAACATCATCAATGCAGGTCTCTTTATTGTTTTTTTTTATTACTATAATTAATGTATTATTTTTGGCGATTATTAATGATGAGCAAGATATTGGTCGTATCAGTCAAATTAATTCTATCTTTATTTTTGTTGTTGAATACTTTATTGCTCTATTATCTCTGTTTTCACTGAACATTGAATGACGTCAGTGTTAAGTACTTCAAACAGGTTTTAATTTAGAAACATGATGTTTAGATCTCATGAAACGATTAAAAAGATACATATCAAGGTAAAATAAACTAAAACCGAGGGAATCGCAAGAAGTACAAAAGGTGTAAAACCAGTGCCTGGACAGGGAGAGCGTCTCTTGCTATGCATCCAACCTGAAACATAATGATAAGCCTTTTGGCCCACATAAGGAACCTGGATAGTCATTTTCATATCATAAAGGTTTTATTTTGGTTGGATTTTTCTAATATCGAGTCAATGTTTGATTTACTCAAATGTCTAACCTAGAGCGGCACCAATTTATAATACAACTATTTATGCTTTTCGATTGATGATTATAAGAACACAAGTCCTACATTTGTTTTTGTTCTTTTCAAACTTTCCTACTTTAAGTTGTTCGTTTCAATTTCCTAAGTTAATAGGAGATAAATATATGTAAATGTGAATAATACAAAAAATGTGCATAGCAAATACAATAACCAGTTGACATGCATTCTTATACCACTGTGTAAACAAAGTTAAACTGCTCTACTTTCAATCTCTAGGACATGAAATAACAAAGTTCAACATCCTGTCATTTGTGATTCGTTTCAAAGAAAACAAAATTCCTGACAATATGCATATTCTTAGAATATGTACTAACACCTTTTATAATATAAAAGTACTAGCTTGTAAACTGTAGGGTGAGGTAACTCGGAAAATTTTGTACCATATATGAGACGGATAGAACGACGAATCGACGTAAGGGCCATCCAAAGAACTTATAGATGGACGAGCAATGGTTGAATAATATGCCCCGAAGGGTAGAAATGAAAAGTTGAAACACTTTATTATTTGAGTTATCTTCTACTTTCCATTCTATGTATACATCATCTAAACTACTAAATAAACTCCTCAGAGAAACAAAGCTAAAACAAAATTGTACGCCAGCCGCACGTTTCGACTACAAAAGACTCATCAGTAACGCTCCAATCAAAAAAGTTTAAAAGGCCAAATAAAATACCAAGTTGTAGAGCATTGCAAAATTATTACAGATAATTCTTGGCGTAGGTTAACATGGTTAAATATTTTCCTAATGTATACATAAGAAGTCTAATTCACGACTGTAATGCTGTTTTCTGTGTTGGAAGAAAGATAACTTTCATTCTCTTACGTATATATTATAAACTAATTCACCTTTTGTGTATAATGTAGATTATAATGTCACTTGGTTGGTTTTTTTTCTCTATCAAGTAGAAAACAATGCGAAACTAATAACTTATAGGGCGTGATATATTTATATGATCCATGACAGAGCTAAAACGACGGTGATAATTTGAGAAACTTTGACTTTGTAGCAATCAACCTCTTTGTAATTTCGACGACACCATGTATTAATTTAAATCGTCCCTCTTTATAGCCTTATTAATGAAATTATAAATTAAAGAATGCCTATATTAGTGGATTCGCACTTCTAGAATCAGCTCTGTCATATGGATTTGCAAATTTTAATATATTTCGTTCGTACTCTTTTGTCACCTTATTTTTATTAATAGTTCACATTTTATTTTATTGCTTACCTTATTTAAATCATAAGCCATATATTCACTGCCAACGGATACGTAATATTTGTCGATGCCAGAATGGAGATCGTTAAATCCAAGCAAAGCAACATTAATACGATATTCTGACCAAGACATGGAACGAAGTGTATGACGTTGAAGGTTTGCAGCATGATATGTACTAACAGCGAACATACCTTAATAAGAGTTAAATAAAGTATAAATTCTTTACATAAAACTAAACCATTTTTACAGAACAATCAGTTGAAAAAACTAGCAAACTACCATTTGTTGCGTTGTTTGCTGGTAAAACACTCATAAACTAAATTTTCATTCAAGTGTTGCAAGTAAAATATATTAAGTACAATTTAGATGTTTACATGTCCTTATGAAAGTGTATTTATAACAGTTTATGTCCTTGCCTGCAAAACCAAAATACCATTTCAATTTAGTGTGTAATAATGGACAAAAGTAGTTAGCAGATTAAAAACCTCGTAAAACCATTTGAATTCACATTTGTCATAACAAAAAAAGAAAATAACACTTTAGATTACGTCCGAAGCTCTTTTCTTGAGCTACCTTCATAAGGACCGCTTAAACCCCCCCCAAAAAAAAGAAAGCTAAGGATGTATAAGTACCGAAACAGGCAAAGAGCTATAGAACCAAAAGTGTATTGCCGAATTAATTTCCATTTAAAGTTATTTTAAGTATGAGTTAAAGCGAAGTAAGAAAAAAATATGTAGTTTGTGAGTAATGAAGTCAAAATAAATATATGTGTGATGTCCTCTGCAGGATATGTTAGGCGTAACTGTAAAAAGTACTCAAAATAAAAAAAATAATTGCCTTTTGAAGGATAAAATGTATATCAGTATATTGATCATCAAATGCAGTTGTATTACTTGTCTGTACCCCCTTTACTTTTTGTATGTTTAATATAGAATACAGGAAGAGAGTTGTGTTGCTTTTTTCAAGGATAACTACAAATTCATCATGGCTTTGTATGCATCAATTGAGATAATATATTTTTCATAGAAGTTTTATTCAAAATTTCATGTGCCTTGGTATTTGCGATAAACTATGCTGTGTATTCCTCTTGTAACACTGAGTGTATTCGGATTTAAAAAAAAGATTTCTACATATTTGTGCTTACAAAAGTATAATAAAATTGAGAATGGAAATAAGCATGTACTAACCAGATGTTGGTGGTGTGGTATCTACAATGATACTGTCAGATTCACTTTCTGTGCAAATCTTTGCACTATTACATACAATTAATTTAATGTAGTATAAACCACCATCAGGGAAATCAAGTCCTGTCAAGGTATATTCTCTAATTATTCCCGCTACCTTTAAAAGTATACAATAAAATTTATAAACGTCAAAAAGATGAACTGCAAAAAGTGTTAAATTCAGAGATTTTTATAATAATCCATCCACAGGAATATATTTATAAATGTACATTTCATATTAGCCTATAATGCAAATAATCTAATTAAAAAAATTGGTATTGTAGCACTGCTTTAAATAACAACTTAGATATCGTAAGGAGAATCTTACGAAGTATAGCTATTAACATTTCGTTTATAGAAACGGACTAAATATCCAGAATTTTGGAAAGAGTGGAGAGCACCAACAAGGCAAGGATGAATGATAACTTATAGAGTAGTTGACAATAATATAAGTTATCTACGTTCATATCCGTATATATGGGTATTTTAACACCCTGAGGCGATACGTAGATAACGAGTTTATCCCCGGTCTTAGTCCAAATCTGTCGATTTTTAGGAAAATTCTAGCACAAATTGTAACGTGAAAGCAAAGTTTTATTGAAATTTGAAAATTTGACATATTTTTTACGGGATGTAGGGTTCTACCTTGAGGTAGTCCAATATAAGACGTTTTTAATCCAGAGACAGAGAAACTGGAAATAATCAAAGGCGGTCAATGTTGCGAGTGTTACGTCATAGACGGCGTGACGCCAACGTGGGTCGTTTGCATAGCTAGGTCAGTAGTCCCGTTCATTGACGACGTGGTAGCCAAGTGATACATTTACTAAAATGAATGCAAATGATCGGCATCATAGGATAAAATCGTTAGTGGATTACGTAATTACTGACATCATAGATAATATACAGATTTCACTGGAAATAACCATGGAACTAAGGAATTTCCCCTTGTGTAATGGGTAGCAACGCCCGGGTATATGGGTTAGCACCACCATAGACTGGTACCCGGCCGTTATTTGATAAGTTTGACAATACTGAATATTTTACGGAGTGAACCAACCTAGCAACACCGGGGCTATGGGTTTTTGAACGACGTGCGTTAGCCAATCAAAATCCGAGAAATATACTAAGCCGGGGATAAGTAGATTTAAAGTGTCTGTGTAAATAGGATATATAGTTTTGCAAGTCTTTAATTTTTTATCTAATTTCGTGAAACTGTAAAAAATCTGGCCCACAAAAATACTACTAGTATAACATTCACGTCATTTGGTCTTTTGTGCATATATACATATGACAGTAGTTTGCTTATGTTCAAATCTCGTAAATCGAGGAAGAAACAAATCAATGTAACAAACAAAAACTGAATGAATCGCATGAACTCCAAAAGGAGCGAGATCGGCAGCGTTGACAGGGTAAGAGAGGGGCAAAAGATACCAGAGGGACAGTCAAACTCATAGATCGAAAAAAAACTGACAACGCCATGGCTAAAAAATAAAAAGACAAACGAACAAATAATAGTACACAAGACACAACATAGAAAACTAAAGACAAAGTAACACGAACCCCACCAAAAACTGAGGGTGATCTCAGGTGCTCCGGAAGGGTAAGCAGATCCTGCTCCACATGTGGCACCCGTCGTGTTGCTCATGTTATTACAAATCCGGTAAATAGTCTAATTAGGTAGGTCACATTCGTGGTGAAAAAGGAAGTGGATTGTAATTACGACATAAGGAACATATCCGATATCATCTGTGAAACGGTTATTCTATAACGGTCAACCAACTCGTGATGCCGACCGTAAAATTTACGAAGGGTCGCCTGCCATGTATGCATCACCCGCCATGCGCTGAAATGTCAACTATGAAACCATTGGATATTGACTCTGAATAAAGTACTAAAAGAGAGGCGAAAGATACCAAAGTGACATTCAAACTCTAAAGTCAAAAAATAAACTGACAACGCCATGGCTAAAAAAGAAAAAGACCAACAGACAAACAACAGTACACGAAACAATACATAGAAAACTAAAGACTGAGCAACAGGAACCCCACCAACAACTGGGGGTTATCTAAGGTGCTCCGGAATGGTAAGCAGATCCTGCTCCACATGTTGCACTTGTCGTGTTGCTATTTAGTACAAACCCGTTAATAAGTCTAATTCGGTAGGTCACATTCGGGGAAAAAAGGGGGGAGTGGGATTTTAGTTACGACAATTGGAACATATCCGCTGTCATCTGTGAAACGGTCAACCAACTCGTGATGGCGTCCGTAAAATTCACGAAGGGATGATTTCAACTTCACCACTTTGAACTCTTGGTTTAATAGCTTCCTTGTGAGCAGCAACCCTCTATCATGGAAATCATGATAGGAAATACAAGCCCTAGAATATCGTATCAAATTGGAGATATATACTCCGTATGCAGGTGCTGCTGGAATGTTGTTACATAGAAATGGAAAGTTTACAATTTGGAAGCTGAAATCATCTCTTTTGTTGTAAAGTTTTGTTTTCAACCGATCCTCATTGTCAATTTCTAGATGTAAGTCAAGATATGAGGAAGCCTTAACTGTATCTGTTGTATCCTTTATCTCAAGTTCGATGGGATAGATGCGTTCAACATAGTCACCAAATTTTTGAATTATTTAGTGAAAGAACACCATCTATATCGCGGAAAGTAAAGTTTAAGGATACTGCTAAATTCTTTTTTCTTCTTCATAAGAAGTTCCTGTATGAAGTCAGCCATGAATAAAGGAACAAGTCGGCAAGAAGAAGAGCACAGTTGGTTCCCATGGGAATGCCAATTGTTGAAAAACAAGTCCTCCAAACGTAACAAATATGTTATCAATCAAGAAATGAAGCATCTTGATAATGTCGGTATCAGTGAATTTTTTGTTTGAATCAGAGTGACTTTTTACAAAGTACGATTTATCCCTCCCTAAGAAAAGATACTTGTATCTACGTTGGCCATTCTTTTTTTATGAAACAAAGCAGGACCAACTCTTTCAATTTGTCTTTTAGTTTGGAATGGGGAATACTTGTGTAAAGTGTAGAAAGTCAAATGTTTTAATACTATTGCATGATGAAAGAGTCTTAGATTGTGTGTACTCTAAAAGACCTTTGGAATTTTTTAGTATCCACATCTGAATCACGCCACCTCTAGAATAGGTAATTCGATAATGACTTTGAAGCCCGGCTAAAATGCAAGGATGAAATGTTAGAATTCAGGAATATCAAAGAAAGCAGCATAATGACTGCATCTGGTTTAGCTAATTTGCGCTCACAACATTTTGTGCTATACAACAATTTATACGAGTTTTATTCAGTTGTTTCTTTTTGATTGGACTCTACTTTTATGGTTAAAATCCTTCCAGAAAACACACCGTTATAGAAGAGGTATTAAATTGTCCATATATGTGTGATGACAATGAAAAGTACTGTTTTTGTATAGCTGACTGACTGTCTTCAACATTCCAGTGAAATCTAACTGCAGATCTAAAGACAGTTGTTCCATCAAAAAAGGTGCCCAAAATGACCTGATAAAGAAGGTTTTTCGATGATGACAGGCGCTGAAATGTCAACTACGAAACCATTGGATATTGACTCTGAATAAAGACCTAAAATGCAAGGATGAAAAGTTAAAATTCATTAATATCAAAACAAACAGCTATAATTGGCTTATAAGAAAACATTTTAGTCCTTGACCATAACTTTGTTTTAATATGATAAAACATGTTTCTTTTATTTTCGAGTTTCTTTATCAAATAAGAAGATCTTAGCTGTTTCTTTACGTGAAACGCATGAATATGTTAATCATACTACCTACAAATTATGAAAGTTCCCAAAAAAGAAGAGGTTGTGTGATTCCATTACGTATATCAAACCAGTGGCTGTCGTAGTTAATATCTTCATCTATTAATAAATTTGAGGTTGATGACAGAACTTTGGTATCATTTGTTCAATTGATTCACGATTTGTCTAGATTCAAATCAACATGGAAATTCACTTGCAGCTCGAATATTTTTCTTGCCATGGAAAATCCGCGGATACAAGAAATTATAAACTGTTATACTCAATGACTAGCACTGGGTTGATAACACTCCTTCTCACATAGCACCAAACATTTTTTACGTATTTATACATTCCTGACTTTTTATTTTAAGTTTAACCGTTCATGATGAAGGTAACTTTAATAAAGCACTTCTGACGCACAAAATCTATAAAGTATCATTTTCAGTCACAAGCACTGTATTGATGCCACTGCTGGTGAACTGTTTGTCCCAGATAGTATCGGTAGCTTAGAAGTCAGTGCTTCGACAATGACATGATTTTTCACATACAATTTAAAAGTGGCTCGTTTATAAATAAACAAATTGAAAAAAGTTAGAGTTGAAACTTCCTTATGGCGTCATGCTGAGTTGACTTGGGCGAATATCGCTATGTTTTTATGGCACTTTTTATTGTATAGCTTCTACCGTTTCTACGTATTTATACATCCCTGACTTTCAAATGCTAAAGTTCGAGTGTTAGTGATGCAGGTTAATTCATAAAAGCGTTGCAGTGGACCGAAAATTTTAAAGTATTATTTTCATTTATGCCAAAATTTTGATGTCCCAGTCATATTGTGTTATAAAGTGGATATCTCATTCACGTGTGCACAATCCCTTTTCTTCATGTTTCGTAAAGGTATATAATCGCTATACGCTCATCAACGATCAGTAGTCGGTGCTTCAATACTGATTTGATTTATAACCCCTGATGAAGGTAATTCCAGTAGCGTCTGACGCACGAATATACCAAGTATTATTTTCATATACAAACCTGCTTTATTATAGGCACGTATTGTTATGTATATGCGATGATTAAGAGGTAATTGGTGAGGTAAATCTGTCAATAAAATCATATCGAAAGAAGTCAAAATCGTGGGTGGATATACATCACCGGATCCTCTTGATGTTCCAGCACGAATAACAAAGTGATCAATTTCAGATTGAGAGTCTACAAATCCAAACCATTTTGCTGTCAGGTAATTTCTGCAAAGAAAATAATAATAGGATGAACTGCTAGCTATTCGTATTTTTGGAGATTTGTAAACAGATGTTATAATAGTTCATATGAAAGTTATTGCAGCCTTTCTTAATCTGTAGTTTAAAAGCCAATAATATTTCACTTCCTTTGAATGCTTATTTTTTTATCAGGATCGAGATCGTTATGATATCTTTTTTTATTATAATGATATTCTATCAGTTTAACTGTTGTTTTCCAATTATGTTAAAGTAAAATCATGTTTTATATAACACATAAATATGTTTATGAAAGCAAGAACTGTCTGGCTATGGAAAGGCAAACATGGCCAACTGTGATTTTAATATGATCACGGTACTCGATTTACAATAATACCTTGTCGACTGGTATTCAATATCATGCTCATATGCACCATCTTGTACTACACCTTGGACAGGTTGACTGTTGTCAATAATAACACCGTCAGTTGTAACAGATGTACATAGGTTTCCAGTGTTACATGCAGTGACAGTGGTAAAGTATTTGATACCAGCCTGAAGATTAAGGTTTTGGACGTTAAAATCTAAAAAAAAAAAATAAGAAGGGAAAATGGTTTAACAACTTGTAAAATTACATATAGACACATAAAATAATTTTTATTTGAATACATAAACTTTTACTTTTTCAACTGAGTGTTTTTTTAAAAATGAATGTTATCTCAACGTTTTAAAGAACAACAGTTACGGTTTGTAACGTAATGTTTTCATCATGATGTTTCTAATGCAGTTTCTATTTTGAGGCACATACCATTGATGACAAAAAAAACCTTATATTTACCAAAGTATGCTTTACTTCTATTTAAACGTAAACTTAATTTTCAGAAATCGTTAAGATTACAGATTGTGCTTTCTTTTAGGTCAAATATAATGTGTCCAAATTTCTCTGTAACAGAGACCTTTAATATGTAATATGATTTTTATACTTGTTATTTTCGTTGAGCGTGTTTTTCAACCCAGTGCCAGTATTAATATGAAAACGAGGGTTGAGCGCCCACAAACATGTGTACCCCCGCCACATTCTTTATGTGCCTGTCCCAAGGCAGTATCCTGTAGTTAATTGGTTGTCGTTGGTTCATGTCAATCATATTTATTTTCCTAATTATTTTTGCTCTTTGCTCTAAATTATGTTGTGAGTTTCTCGTTTGAATAGTTTCACATTTTTTCATTTCGGAGTCTTTTATAAACAACTATAACGTATGGGGTTTTCTCATTGTTGAAGACCGTACATTGACCTATAATTGTTTATATCCACTTATTTGAATTCTGGTGGACAGTTGTATCACTGATAATCATACCTCCTTATTTTTCTATTCTGGGGTTTTCTGATGAAGAATGAAGAGAATACCATTATCTTATATCTACATTCCGCTTATAGATGATTTCTATACAATGAATGATTGAACGTACAATGATGATGTGGATATTATTTACTCTCCTGAACTTGAAATAAAAGTTACCACATAGTACTATACCTTAAAATCTAATTCAACGAATTTTTAACGACAAAACAGATGATTTCAATTTCCCCATTTTGAGAATTTCTTCGAAGCTACATCTCTATCTACCCGATTTTTTGCGGGTTTGTGTTGCTCAGTCTTTTTGTTCCGTAGAGTGTTGTTCCTATTTTCGCCGTTTTTTTTTGTTTTGTTTTGTCATGGCGTTGTCAGTTTGTCTTTTACTTATAAGTTTGAATAGCCTATTGGTATCTTCTGTCTCTTTTGTATTTGTATATAGACTTTATGTCTCCAAGGTGATACTATATTCCAAGGATGTCGTTTTCTATTATGATTTCATTGATAAATTTGCTGCTAACAAGTAAGCTGTTGAATTAAGGGTTCTTATTGGAAAGTTTTACGGATATAATCATGATTTGGTTGTCCGATTTGATATATTCCATTTGAAACCATTATTCTGTCCTCGTTTGCTCTATTGTGACATGACTTTACTTATCACATGATTTTACTTACCACGAAGAGCACGCCGGGTGATATCAAGGGAGCAGGAGCTGAATAACCTTTTGAAGCTCTTTAGTTCATCTCCGGTTTTGGGTTGGTTGGGCTAATGTTACCCAATATTTATTTAATTTTCTTGTGATTTGTAATGCGTTGTTTGTCTTTTTATTATGGATCATGGTTTCTTTTTAATATAATAAAACAAATAAATATTAATGTGGTTTTTTTCTGTTGTGCAGTGTATTGAGTCAAATCGTTTTTAGATTTGGGTAATATTATTTATTTTAAAAGAACTTTAATTAACATGTTTCCATTAATAACTAATATATATTTTACAATTTGTATATCTGTTTTGTTAGCATTAGTGAATGAACCCACAATATTAACTCTTTGATTTCAATACGAACAATATACCTGTATTTATTCCAACAGTTTGTTCAGCCAATACATCATTACAACCAGAACATGTCCCAATATGGACACTGTAATATTTGATTACAGAATGTGGATCATGAAAACCTTCCCAGTAAACATATAGGTGCGTCATATCCATCTGGTAATCTATATCTTTTGTAAGTAATTCCGGTGTATTGTTACTGCCATCATAGACATGACCGGCAGTTGGTGGTGACATATCATATATATAGGCCCATGATGATTTAATAGTGGACAGATGTGCTCGATTAAATGCCTTTCAAAAATGAAAACAACACGTTATAAATTTCATGCATTCGAAGCGCATTTGTGGATTTACTTTCATTAGGAACGCACAAAGCCGAATATTTGAAAGCCAAAGATGTATAAGAACCGAAACAGCTGAAGAGCTATATGACGCGGTTTTACTGCATCAGGTGCGCATTTCGACAATTAATGTCTCTTCAGTAATGCTCGAGGCCAAATATTAGAAAATCCAAAACCTAATACAAACGTTGAAGAGCTGATAAAACTAAAACAGACCTAAATATTTAGTGTCTTAAAGTCAAAGCTGTCTACAGAATTGAACGGACTTTCAAAAGCAAATTATTTATCTAGAACATCCTATTGGTTTTTGACACTCCAAAATTATTAAGTCCATGATGTTCATATGCTTTATTAAAAAAATTGAAAATAAGTCCGTTGATAATATTTAGGGAACTAGTTAAACGCACTGAAAGATTAGCTGTAAAACACTTAGGAGAAGCCAAGATGAAACGATATTTGACATTAATTTTTGTAGTTTAGGTAGACATTACATAGTAGGGACATTCAAATGATCAGGGGGGGGGGGGGGGGGGGGGGGGGGCTTAAGCTTAGATATAGTGTGTTGAAGATATAGTTGAATATTTGTTTCTCTTCGGAGCACACGGACCTGAATGTAGAAGAATTTATAAGTTCATACTTCCGTGTAGTATATACGTCATACCACCACCACATTGTTGGCTGTTCTTTCGGTTGGTACGAACAAAATACGCTTTGCGAGTACCTGAAATTTATTTCTTATTCTAGAAATGGGCGTTTAGTAACCCATATTGTAATATCTAAATTATTTACAAAATGATATATTCGAATATCCACAATATTCATACATCTGTTCAAATAATGATGAAGATATTTTTATCGGGTTTCTGCCGTGTACACAAATTTTCCTAATAGAATGAAAGAGCGTCTTTAACGAGCAGACGACACTCTTTCAAATTTCTTTTCAATGGCGGACGATATTTTGGTCATTTTTCAGAAAGTTTTTAACGATGTTGAGGTCGCCAGTATTAACATGGCCACAGGAATCATATCTAAAATTTAATATTTCACAGTCTCATGTTGAAGGAGCATTATTTTTTATACTGACGTCTGATGTATAATAAGATAATGCTCGTTTTTTTTTGTAATTTGAAAACATCATGGCATTAAAAGTAATGCTCGCAATATATGAATTCTTTTTTTTCATTCCCTGTCTCAAACTTTGGCAACTGTTTCCGTTTGAGACAGATTTAGAGCTTTAAGGATGAGACAGATTTAGAGCTTTAAGGAAAATACATTGTCTGACATCAAACATAACAGCTTTCAGACATATACATTTTGAGACGGGTATTTTCCTCATATGGCAAATCGTTGAATCCGTATTACTTTTATTTGAATTGCTGGAAAGTGGTAAATCAAAATGATTATTTTTCCAAATCTTTATGTTATTATTTTGGCAAATACATGTTTCTTACCTTAATTGTTATGAAGTATGGATGGCCTTCTGTTAAATCAAAATTTACATCATCTGCGGACACACCACAATTTTCCTGAGTTTCTGAAAACGGTATGACATCATCTTGACCACTAAGTAAACCTGCTCCCCATGTATAGTAATCTATTCCACTTTGAACATCAAGAAAAACGTCTTCCCAACTGTTATAATTAAATTAATATTTAGGAAAAAAAAAGGTTCGTGTTTTACACTACGGAAATGCATACATTTATCAAATATAAACAAGTTATCCCGTTAAATAATATCCTTACCATTTTTATATTTTAATATTTTATAGTATTTCAACATTTGCTTAACAATTTTAAAAGATCGAATCTACAAAAAATATTTTACTTCGTGCTAAAAAAAATATTTATTATTTTCATACTGTTTCTATAAACAAAAATTCTACATATAGATATTTACCAAGCCTGTATTACAGTCAGATTTGTTATCAGTCTACCCTTGATAGAAATTGACTCTCCTGATAATTCTGGTGGTGTTGTATCAACAGTTATAGGAGACGATCGTACTTCTGCAGTTCGGTTTATGAAGTCAAGACCTATGATTAAAAAATCAGCATTAAGTAGCCTAATGCAATGAATATCTTTCTGGGAAAAGAATAAAATGCTATAAAAGTAAATTTTAAAATCTGATTATAAACCAGTACTGAATAAAATTCCTTGCCAATTTATTGATTAGCTGTAAGCTTAATGTACGGCATTTTGTTAGTTTGACGTAAGGCACCGAGGTTCCCACACCCCCACCCCCAAAAAAAAAGAAGGTACATCAAAGACACAATAACAGAAGTGTTATGGCATTATTACTTCGACACGCTATAACATGAACATTATAACAGTATGAAATATTTCGTTGTATGTATCCGAACGGAGCTATCATTTCATATTTACGCAAAACTAAATTTGTTGTCGAAAGTTAACAAAACTGTAGCAGATGCTTATTGTTTTACATTTTTCAAAATAACTTGTATTAACTCCCTACAGCGATTTAAATATGTTGTATCACTTTGAGAGATTTTTGTTTCGAAAAGTTTGAATGAAAACAATATAAAATTATCAGAATATATATTCTAATTCGAGTTATTGCCAAAATGTCCTTTTTTTATTGAAATTTACATGTCGATTTCTGCCAAGACGATTTACAGTTTTAAGTGCTAACGATATCAAGCTAATTCGGTAGTCGTGGTCATGTCAATTTAAAAAAAAACTGAAACCTGTCGTTTACTTCTGGGTGCTATCAATACACAGAAGACTCTGTTGTCATATTTTCTTATCAAAAAGAAAGAAAAAACAAAACAGCAAAACACACCAAGAGGTCAACGATTTTCACCAAATAGACGATTTTTTAATTTGGAAAGATCAAAGCTTAATGTTCTGTTTTCCAATTAAGTAATTTAAACATTTAAAGAATATTTTCTGATTATTCAGTTTTTACTTATTGGTACCCGTGTAACTTAATATGATTTACGTTTTTATTTTTTATGATTACTTATACGGGTTTGGCTTTACTTTTGGTCCTTTTGGTTTTATCAGCTCTTCAACTTTTGTAGTAGGTTTTGTTTTATGAAATATTTTGCCCTCAAGCATCACTGAAGAGACATCAATTGTCAAAATACGGATCTAGTTCAGTGAAATGAACACCATTGATATAATTAGTTAATCTTTTCATTCTTGACACTGAACGATAACTACTAAATGATGATATGACAAAATAGAATTTGAACAAATCTGGATTGACTTTGATTACTGCTTCTTCGTTTATGGCAAAGGAACTATTTCAATAATAACTTTATAAAGCCGTAGCAATCTTACTACTTATTGTCTTGTGGTATATAATCATGTGGTATTACCTTTTACAGTGACAAAGTATTTGTGACCGTTCTGAAGTTGTAGATTATGGAAGGACATATGGTTAGTCAAACCAACATTGTGGTTATCAACAATATCTACACCACCTTCAACAGAACCTATGAAAAAATAAATGATAAATAGTATTAAACAATTTCTATTGCCCTTATCTATTCCAATCATATTCTCTAAAAAATACCACCAGAGTGCACTGTACATAATCAATGAAAACCTATGCAACTCTGAAAAAGAAATTTGTTCGTCACATTTTATAACTTTCGGATGTAATCCACAAACTTTTGATCATTGCAATACAGAACTTGTTCAGTGCTTTTTGTCACAAGGTGACCCTAAATAAATGTATATTATAACTAGTGCATAAAAACAGTGTTGGTTTGGTTAAAATTATCAGAAATATGATAGATTATAGTGTTGTATTGCCAGACAAAATACTTATAAAGATACCAGGCTTATGATTTAGTACACCAGACACGCATTTCTTCATAACAAGACTCATTACAACAAAAGCATACATGGAAATGTTATTGGAAAAATAATTAAAAATAAATTATCTAATTGTACTTTTAACAAGATATTTAACGATTTCTATTTTGAAATTCCCTTTTTTAATGAAACAAACTTTTTTGTATTAGGCATATAGAGGTAGAATTATATTTAGTATCAAATTATTCACTTAAAGTAAGGCAACAGTAGTTTTTCGATGTTCTACTTCTCAGCTGGCTTACCAATTGAAACAAAGTATTGTTTGATTCCAGATGAGTGCATGGCATGTCTTTCTTCCTCGACATCAACAAAAGAATCCCAACTCACAGTGATATCTGATGAAGACGTCTTTAAGAAAACAATGTTATCTATTAAATAGAGTGTTAAGGGACTGAATTGGTTCTTAGTATATTCGTATTCTACTGAATTTTGTCAATTCATATCTATTATTATTAGTTTCGTATCAATCTTTTCCCAAGGAACGATATTAAAATCAAAGCAGGAACATAAGTATAGTTACATCCAACACGTCGTTTCTTATTCGTTATGTATATGCTAGTTTGTCTCTCTTTACCTCTGTCAGAACTTGCATAACGTTTTGGAGTTATTTTGTTTAGAATGCTATGCAACTTCGTAATTATCTTGGTTTTCCAAACGTTTTAATTCAGTTGCCATTGATGGTTTTTGCGTAGATGCAACGCGCTTTTCTGACTTGTGTCCATCAGTTAATTGTCAGCAATAATTATTTAGTTCATATTTTTCTACTCCAAGGCATAAGTAGCTTTCGCCAGATTTTGCACAACCCTTTTAATTTTGAATCCTCTCCAACAAAAAAGTTTTGCCATCAAGCTTATTATCTGTATAGAGTTCTACTAAAACCCGTGAGATACATGGTTTATTGTGTATATTAATAATTTCCAAATATTGAAAGTAGAAAAAAGGCAAAACACACCAAAGTTACAATCAAAAATCAAAAGTAGAAGAATAAGAACTAATCAAAAAATAAAACGGACATTTACACGTCAAAAAAACGAAAAAACAGCCTTCAGTAGACTTATTACCGGGTTTGTACTAACATGAGCAACAAGACGGGTGCCATATGTGAAGCAGGACTTGTTTACCCTTCCGATGCACATGAGATTGCCCCCAGTTTTTGGTGGTGTTTGTGTTGCTCAGTCTTTAGTATTCTATGTTGTGTTTTGTGTACTATTGTTTGTCTGTTGGTCGTTTTCTTTTTTAGCCAAGGCGTTGTCAGTTTATTTTCGACTGATGAGTTTGAATGTCCCTTTGGTATCTTTCGCCTCTCTTCTTCAAAAAAGAACATTGAAAAAAAAAGATGAAGCTGCACGAACCCTACTAAAAAATCGTGGTTGACCCCAGGAGCTCCGTAAGGGTTAACAAATTCTACTCCATATATGTATATAAACTGATTATAGATACCAGGAATAAAATTGTGTAGCCAGATGCGCGTTGCGTCATCAAAAGACTACATCAGTGACGCTCGAATAGAAAAAAGTTAAAAAGGCCAAATAAAGTACGGAGTTGATAATATATTTCTTAACATCAACCTGGAATCTGTAAATTTTATTACAGTATTAACGAATATGAGCAAAGTTACCTGATAAAATACGAGTGGATCAGGCCCAATCCACACTTTCCCGTGTACAGGTGGTGTTAAGTCAACCGTTACACCATCACTACATGATGTTACCGTGTCCAATGTTTCTCTCCATTTTTCATGTTCAATCACAGTTTCGGGTGCATAAACGCATACTGAATACCGTTTTCCATGTGTTAGATATTCAGTTTCATTAAAATGTATATTTGCGTAGTTTTGGTCTGTAATGGATTGAAGTGTATTGTACAATTTGTTCGATATGTTATTTTATACAGTTTCCCTGTTCAATAATGATAAATTACAAAGGATATTGAAGTAATAAAATGTAGTTTTGTTAAATTGCACTGCAATCAGCACATACAATATTTTTATTCCTCTGAAAACACTTTTGACAATTTGATACCAATGACAATATACCAAAAATAGTCTGAGAGTTATAAAGATATCGTTAATTGACGTTACTTGTCACATCGTTGTCCACTTAACAGTGACAATGATAAGATTATGATAACTTCTTGTAAACTGGTATTGTTTCTAGCCGTCATTTGTCTAACCAAGCATTGAACTTGAATGTAATAACGTTATTTCTTTGTCTCAAATTTACAGAATAACGTTAATTCATGTTTAGGGGCCAGCTGTAGCCCGCCTCCGAGTGCTGGATTTTCTCGATGCGTTGAACACCCGTAAGTGATCTTGGGCTGTTTTCTGATCTTTGGTCGGGTTGTTGTCTTTTTGACACATTCTCCGTTTCCATTCTCAATTCTATGATCAGAAACATTGAATCTTTTGACAAAATACTTGAATGAGTTCACAATCTTTAGCATAAGCTATATTTTATGCGAAAACGATTACATTTAAAAATGAAGATGTGGTATGATTGCCAATGAGACGTCTGTCCACAAGAGACCAAATGACACAGAAATTAACAACTATAGGTCATCGTACGGCCTTCAACAATGAGCAAAGCCCATACCGCACAGTCAGCTATAAAAGGCCCCGAAATGACAATGTAAATCAATTCAAACGAGAAAACTAACGGCCTAATTTATGTACAAAAAATGAACGAAAAACAAATATGTAACACATAAACTAACGACAACCACTGAATTATAGGCTCCTGACTTGGGACAGGCACATACATACAGAATGTGGCGGGGTTAAACATGTAAGCGGAATCCCAACCCTACCCCTAACCTGGGACAGTGGTGTAACAGTACAACATAAGAACGAACTATTAAAATCAGTTGAAAGAGGCTTATTAAACTCATCAGAAGGATAAAAATACAAATAATACAAATACAAGTGGCCGTGGCCGGATACTTGTACATCCAAACAACAAAAAAACACTAAGTACAGATCTGAGAGTACTCGCAGTTACTGAAAGCTAGTTCAAAGCCACTAACAACTAATAAAAAATATCATGCATCTAAGACTAAATTATCAATCCGTACACATTCAACATTACCTGTTTGTCCACATAGCACTGTATTCGGATGAGAGCACGGATCGGAAATCACAACATCTGTGAATTCTTTATAGAACGTCTGTGCATTGTTACTGTTTACTTCAACAACTCCCCACTGATATGATTTATGTCTAAGTGAAGGCCATACAGCAGATAGAACATTCTTGAAAGGCGTATAGTCTACATCCGTTGGTATCCAAGCTGCATTTTCTTCAAGAAATACATCACCGCCGATACCATCTTCATAACCATCTAATTTTTAAAAGATATTATTTCAAAGTTAATCCTTATCTTGGTTTATGCAGAACATCTTCGTCAATGTTTGTGAATAAAATATGTTACTATACGTCAATATAAAGATAATTCAGCGAAACAATTAAGAAAAAAAGACGACTACATTTCTAAATGGCAACATAGAATCTTTTATGATAGACAGGTGTGTGTATAATATGCAAAGCTCTAAATTATTCCTTGTGTATAAAGTTTCTGAATAAATTTAAGATTTGACATTCAAACTCCAAATTTTGAAATAACAAAGAGCAAGTTTTTGGAACCCAATTTAGAGAAAACCTTGCAATTCAATTGTCTTTATCAAGACATCTTAAAACAGTCTTATTATAATTGTAAATGATATTACTATAAAGAAAATCGTTTCTATATAAAATGAAATGCATACTATTAGTATGGCCCATCATAAGCAATACGACTGGGACTGCATGATGAGCAGAATCTGCTATTCCTTCCGAAGCACTTGAATACACTCAGTTTCATGGTGGAGTTCGTTTTCATCAGTCTTTGGTTTTCTAAATAATGTTTTATTGGCTGACACTTTGTCTTCTCTTCGTTATTTCATTTTGTTTCAAGGTTTCGTCGGTCTATCATTGGCATACATTTTGATTGTCCTTTTGTTTTTGCCCTTTTATAGTTTCAACGTTTGTTTACCGATTAAACTTTTAAAAAAAGATAGATACCTGCTTCGCCAAGTGCGTCGATTACTTTTCTCGCTTTTATCTGACTATGGCTGTCAACTACATGACACTGTTTTAAATCGGTTGACACAACAGACCAAACTCCAGCTTTGTTAGCTCCTCTGATATATAAACGCTTGCACTTCGCAAAATCTATTTCGCCGGACAGAGTTATATCAAATTCAACCTAATGATAAAAAATTTCAGTTGATCAAGGTGTTAATTCAATTAATTGTTTGAGATAACCCGACAATAAGTTCAAATAAGAAATCAAATAAGAAAAGAGTTTTCTAGTTTATATGACCGTTAATTTGCAAATGAGGATATGAATCCTAATACTTCTATGTTAATATTTAATTCTTATACAGTTGCAGTTGTTTGAAAGCTTGCATTTTAACTGTAAATAATAATATAAGCATAAAATGATGAATTAAAATGATTTAATTTTTACAACTAAAGCACTTAATAATTAAAAAGTTTATGCTTATTTAGCTTACATGAGTGTTGTTTATTTTCTTAATGGTGTTTATTTCAGTCCACTTTTCAAACAATCCGCCTCCATATGAACCATCATATATAGCCCATTCATATATTTCCATTGCATCTATTGCTTCCGATCTGTCTTCTATATCTGGGTCATACATAGCTGTAATGGTCACTATGAGCTGAAATTAATATCAAACTACTGCTGTAAGTCTAGGTTAAAATACCATTGATTAAATAGTCTACTAAGCCCGTGTTATATATGTCCCATCGTATATATACACGATGTGCACGACACGTTTTTAATATTTACACGTGCGTTTGAGGCAACATGTGTAAAAATTTCAGTGAACAAGGCTTTTATGGAAAATTATCATCGTAAGCAATACTTCAAGCCTGTACCATTCATAAATAATATTGCACAAAAATTAGACAGTTAGGAGTTAAAGTAGGAAGATGTGGTATGATTTCCAACTTGACAACAAAGCAACAGAGTCAAAATGTAAGCAACTATAGGTCACTGGACGGCCTTCAACAATTAGCAAATCCCTTACATCACAGTCAGCTATCAAAAGCAAAAGTCAGCTATCAAAGGCAAAATGTGAAACTATTCAACCGATAAAACCAACGGCCTGATTTACGACAAAACACTAACAAAAAACACATATAACGGACAGTAAGCAGCGACAACCATTGAATTACAGGCTCCATACTTGAGACAGGCATGTACAGAATGTAATGGAAATGGAAAGATGGGTGGGGGGTAAACTTGTTTGCAAGCGCTTAACTCTGTCCCTTACCACGGACAGTAATGTAGCAGTACAACAGTACAAGAACAAACTAAAAATATATTTCAACTGGCTTGACTTAACTAATTGGTAAAAGGCACACAAAAACTTTCATTTAGAAAAAATGACACAAAGTACCGATCTAAGAGTACACGCAATTACTGAAAGCTAGTTCAAAGCCAAGTAAAATAATATCATGTTCTCGCATATCAATCCATACACATCCGGCAGATCAACTGTAAAGACGTCAAAAACAGTCCGAGAAAAGCACGACCTTGTGCAATGCAAACTTTCTCTTTGACAACAATAAGTTCTAATTGAGGTACCAATGGTAAAAGCTATATTTCAGTTTCAAACAAACGACTGAAAAAATTTAATTTAAGGATGGTTCAAATCGTTGCTGCAAATCAGTCTTTAAAGTAAGTGTCTATTGATATGTTGGTCCTTAAACTGAAGTATCTGTGCATATTTCTTTTTATTCAAACTTTTTAGTGCCTCAGAGATATCCTAGGAAGACAAACGTATATGTCTCGAGAGTAACGAATTAAAATCGCAATGTTAAATATAGTCTCAGTTGTATTTAAAGTGAAACTATAACACTAAAAACCACCGTTGTTGTTTTTGAAACAAAGAAGAAAGTGACTTATTTTTTAAAATATTATAGCTTCATTTTGGTCTTTAGAGGTTAAATATTGGTAATTTTGCTTTTTGACAAAAACAGTCTATATTTTTGTGACAAAAGTAAAGTATTACAGTGTTCTATGATTTTTAGTTTCTACGAAACATTTCTTAGTTCGTAGACATTTAAGCTACTAAACATGCAGTATAAACTATCATAAATCATTGAATTATCTGTGTGTAGAAGTATTTTGATAATTCAAGTGGGTGAAAATCCCAAATTACAAAATGTAATCTATTCCTATTTAAGCGATTTTTTTTTAAATTTTTGGTAGATAGCTGTGGAATATATGGTCTATTGATTTAAAGGCTCTGGTCAATATTTTAAAATTCAATGACCTTGTCATTTTTCAATCAAGAGATATCAGCAATAGATAAATGAACCACAAGAACATTTTTTTCTATGTTTTCTCACTGAATAATTTAAAGTTTGATGATAATACTGATCGTCACCTGCCCATTGCCTTCTTATTCATTATTGTCAGTTTGTTGCTTTTTTCCCCTTGATATCGCCATTCCTTAAGACAGTCCTCTTTATATATAAATAATCACCTTTTGAATTTCTATTTTCACATCAATAGAACCAGTTACAGGGTAACTCGGTATAATTGTTACACCATTGCTACTGATCGCTTGGAAACATACATCGTCAGCACACAGTTTTACCGTAAATTTGTATGTCAAACCAGGCTGTAGATCTAACTCATTCACTATCACATGACTTTGGCTTCCTATATAACTGAAGTCGCTGTACTGTAGCCACATATCTACAAACATATAGTGACGCTCAATGTAACCAATATGTATATAATAATTTGGAGTGGAATGTAAATGGACAATATAAGTCATTGTGCTTTCTAATAAATTATCTCTTCATTTAAAATGATGACAGAGTATACCATAATTTATCTCCCAACAAATTAAAAACATACCTCCAACTGGAGATCGTTGTTCAACGCTCCAATATGCACTTCTAACAATTTGTTTTAGTTTGTCGTCCAGAATTTCCCACTTAGCTGAAAGAGTTGTAGTCGAGGTTTGGTAATCTATATCGGTTTTGCATCTATAAATAATATCCTGTGAAAAATAATTGATAATGTAAAACATTTAGAATATTATTCAAAATAGACTAGTAACGTTATTGGTGAGTTTTTCATCAAATTTTTAATAAAAACAAATTAGTTGTGGCAGTTCGTATCTCAATTATGCGTGTTCTATGTAATGCTTTATCGACCATGGCGTGTCTTTTCATCGGTATTGGCTTAATATCTTGATCTTTTTATCAGTATGTTACCAATATCTTGAATAATAAAGGCAACAGTAGTATACCGCTGTTCGAAACTCATAAATCGATAGACATAAAAACAAATCCGGGTTACAAACTAAAACTGAGGGAAATGCATCAGACACAACAAAAACACAACATTAAAATGTAACACACACAGAAACGAACTATAATATAACAATGGCCATTTTCCTGACTTGGTACAGGACATTTTAGAAAAAAATGGTGGGTTAAACCTGGTTTTGTGGCATGCCAAACCTCCCGCTTTTATGGCAACGTCAAACACAACACCAAAACGACAACATCACATGACAGGACCACAATACAAATAAATGGGAGAACATATAGGACAAAGAAACACACGAATAATAGTTAACAAAAGGTACTAGGCTTAAAATTCAATACGCCAGACGTGCGTCTCGTCCACACAAGACCAACCAGTGACGCTCAGATGAAAAAAGTTTGAAAGCCAAAACAAGTACAAAGCTGAAGAGCACCGAGGAACAAAACTTCCAAACAGTTGCGACTAACACGGCCAGGGTTTTCTGCCTGGGACAAGAACATCCTTATTATTTAGAATAATTTATAATTTTGTTAGCAGTAAATTTTATAAAATGACTATATAATAGATATACATGATCTTGGCCTCGGTATTGACATAGATGGACGTCTTTATTAAACGATCTTTGACTAACGTGATGATTTCAACTTCCCAATCATTAATATATCTCACTTTATACGTAATGTCGTGCATTTTCACACTATACGGACTTCAATAAGTATGGGTGTGCTAATTACACAAAATCTGCGCCACCAGAATTATGAGGAGAAACGACTGAAACTGATACTACGTAAGTATTTCTTCACCATAAATGATTTGTTGTCCTATATAATGTGTTTATGTCTCAACTTACAAGCGACATGTTTTCTCTGTCTCAGATCTATAAATACCCGATTAGTCGTCTTATCTATAAATTTACTGCTTGTATCCTATACTCGATTTTGACAATTTTTTCAATGAATGGTTGTGGAATTCCATGGCCGGTGATACATGATATGAATGAGACGCTTACCTTACCGACGTACCCGGTCGCGCTCCTTTTGGAGATCATGCGATTCCATGAGTGTTTTTTTTTTTTTTTTTTTTTGATGGATGTATACGATTTGAATATCTGATAAAACTACTGTTATTTTGCATGGTGTTGTCCGTTTTCATAAGACTCTGTTTTTGTGTTACGTTTTTGGAGTATCTTCTCCATCTTCCCTGTTATTTGAATTTCTTTTTAGAAATTACATAATAAACATCATTAGCTGTCTTAGACTTACCCGTATATGATGACTCCCATTTAAGACAACTGGGTCTACAACAAAGCAATACCGTATATAAAACTGACTTGAAATAATTTATAAACTTATGGTCATTCTTATTTTTCAAAGATATTCATTACAGTAATAAAACGTATAACATGAATACAATGAGTGAACAGTGAAAATATTTTAAAGTTAAGGAATACAATCACTGTCTCTGTTGTTTAAAGTGTAATCATGAGAATAAAAGAGAAAAAGATTCAGGTAGTCATCTTTCTTTGAGAGTTCTAGAGAGAGGAATTTGATTAGATTCCATAACAATGCACACTTACTATTTAACTATTACATTTTAATGACATATTTATTTCACGCTAGATGCGGCTATATGCGCTGCAAAACATCTCTTTTTTTCGAACGGACGTTAGTATCGGGACTTTCTTTTGTTTCGGCCCTACTGAAGTAATCAAAAAGACATACGTCTCTATAAATATTTGCAACAACAGTAAATTCGACCCATGTTTTAAATAATGAAAATACTAGATTTTCAGTCAATTTTTTCAATGAAAATCCGCCATTGTACACTTAGGTATACGCAAACAACAAAATAATCAATGATACATCCCCTACATATACACTAAACTATTTCATCAAATTTTTTTAAGCAGATAGCTATTCGTACAATAAAGGAAAAGATACATTTTAGATATACAAGCTTTAGAAACATGATGAAAGCAAGCCTCGACGAACTTTGCTCCTGTTTTGCAGCGAATAAAAATAGATTTTATGTTTTCATACAAAAAATGTACGAACACAAACCATGCCATCAGTTAAATATAATATCAAATTTCGATTTCCATGGAACAAAAGTATTGTTAATAATATTTAGTTCGTTGTTGAACATCTCAGAACAGGGTTTGTAGGCTTACTTTGCTCGTGACTTATTTCTAGGGATAGAAATTTGTGATGGGGAATTTTAAACAAAACTATGAAAGAAAAGAACACCTGCGCATAGAGACCCATCATTAATGATTACTCCCGATAGTTCTGTAGCATTGTTGATAATGGTAATTCCGTCTGATGATTTCTTGATAGAACCAGAGTTGGTAACAGCTTCGACGGTTACGTAGTATTTCTGAAAGTAAAATAATATTTAAAGAATTTTCGCATATTTTCAAGATGAAAATTTATTGCCAATATCCCTAACATAAGTAATTCTTAATGAATAATCAGATTCAGGGACAAGAAAATGCAAACACAAAACCTAGCAAACCGGGTGTCCCTAGAAATCATAAAATAAAAACTCCTTGAAAATATAACAGTTAAATATATAAATTGCCTACACAGAATTACTTTTTTTTTATATTAAATTGATAAAAACATACACTATCACAATGTGTATTCTTAAAGTTATCCTGATTATACCATTTGAGGTATCAGTATTTTTTTTAACTTATATATTCATGGCTAAATAATTTTTTTTATTTGACTCACATGCCTAATGACCGACTTGATTTTGAAGCTAAATGCATACAAAACATAATCAAATACAAAAAAGAAAAATAGCAGCTTGCAAAATTAGTTTATTCAAAAATATTGATAATGTACTGTCACTCAAAAACTCACAGTTCAATGAGTGCTTGCATCACTAGCGAACTTGAGAAACTTGAGAAAAAAAGATACTACAAAACAAGAAGGTCTGCTTCAGATATTGTTCTTTTCCTCAAAATTGTCACAGATGGAAGATTTCAAACTAGAATATAGGACAAAATGATGATTTCAACTTTCCATTTCTCAGCAGTAGTATACATCTGCCCAATCGAATGGCGTTAACATATTTCAATGAATATATTTTTCGCTCGTGCATGTTCACACTGACTTCATTATAAGGGATGTGCTACTTACACAAAAACTAGTCCAACAGAGTTATAAGGAAGAACAACTGATATTAGTTGACCGATACGATATGTCTGTGTCTCAACTCACTAGCGATTTAGTCCTAGATCTTTACATACCAGAATAGTGGTCTTATCTGCATTCGCATGGTGGGTTATGTATAATGATGCAAAAATGCGTGATATTTAACGATAATATTTACTAATAAATTATAAATAAAGTTTTGTTGGATAATGGAAAAATGCACAGAAGTTAAAGAGAATATTTATCAATGAATTATAAAATAAGTTGACCAAGGAATAGACGTAAATAAAAAAAAAATAAGAGAATTTAATTTGTTTATAGAACAATCTCCTAAAGATATCAATGTAAGTGTTTTATCTTTTTAAGCATATTTAATAACGTTGTCTCAAAAATGTCCCCCAGCTAATTGATAAATGTGTCAGCTTAGAAGGCATAAAGATAATTATACATACTTTTTGAAATTAATAGACATGAACAATTAAGATCAAGTAATTTTTCCTTTATCCGAGATATTCATTAAAACATAGATCAAAGAAAAGCTATTGTACTGAGTAACAAAATATTCACGTGTAAAACTAAGTCCAGTTCTGCTATATAAAATCGTGCAAAATTATTTGGTTCATTAGACTGTGAACCAGAATAAAAATGTAGTAAGCAGACCTGCTATATGCAATGGTTCGGGAAACCCCTCAAATTGGTTATTATACTTTAGAAAATGGATCAAAATTAATTCAATATTAAACGAAAATGATTGCCATTACTTGCCGTTTTATTTGAAACGTAATATAACCAGAAATTGTTAAATAGGTTTTATATGTACATAAAAAAAAATCCGAATGAGAAAGGCACTTTTGATTGTAACTTGTATGTAAAGAAAAGTTTTTAAATTGTTTTAAATAATGAATAGGTATGTAAAATAGAATAGACATGCTAAAAAAAAAAATATATGAAATTTTTGAAATGAATTATAATAAACAAAGTAAGGTACAAAGATTCGTGTACGAAAACAAATACGAAATAGAACATTGGAGAAATTTAAAATGTAATATTGTGTGGAAGTTAAAGTTATAAAGCGGTTTATATTCATTTAACTGTGAAGGATTAAAAGAAATGCCTCTGTTTATATGAGAACCATAAAATAATGCCTCAAATGTTAACTTACAAAAGATAAAAGTACATAAAATAAACATCTGTATAGGAAAGTTTGTTGTTTACAAATTTGAATAAAAAAAAAAGCTTTTTGTGGATCATCAGTCCATAGAAAAGGCAATGCCAAGATAAGACACGGAGTTCCACAAGGAACAAAGATAGTAGATGTATAAATAAATAGAATAAATAAATGTGTAAGTTTGCATTGTGTGCTGCATTGATTGCTATTGAATATTGAGTTCAAATTAATATGTAAATTTCCACTTAAGAGAAATAAAGGTTGTTTGTGTCATAAGAATTTTTTGGGAATTCATGACACCCTTAACATAAGTGCTATATATGGATTCGCCACTCATATAAAAATGTGACTAAAACTTCATAAATAGTCTCTTAAAGATTAATTTTGATATAAATTGAAAAACTTAATAGGTAATCAAACTGTTGTAGAGTAAGCAATTATACACTTTGTCAAAACTTGTCCAAAAATAAGTAATGAATCAGTAACGTTGTAATGATAAAACAAATATTTAAGTCATGTTACTTTGAGGGTATGATTCACGATAGATTTGGAGTCGGAGCAAACTACCAATGAAAACGGGCTTATGCCGAAAAATGGGTATGACGCCATGGTAGATTTGGAGTTCGAGCAATCTATCAGAAATGTAGGCTTACTCCCTAGTAATTTGATTAAATACATAGAGGGTGAAAACTGCTAAAATAGATGAATATATGAACATAGAATTCCACTTCGCCTATCAGATAAATTAACATCGTTGAAAGAACAATAATCGTATTGAATCCATCTTCGAAAAAAAATAAATTGAAAAATCTTGTCCTAAGAGTTATAATTTGAAAACAAAAGTATGTAGATCGTCATTTGCCTGAAATAATCAGATTAATATAAAATTAATAAATGATAAATAAACTTAAATGATGGACAATTGAATGCTGGAAAATGAAAGTAAAATAAAGTATATAAACTAAGATAAATAAATGAACTGAATTATATTGCATTGCTAAAGTTTTGAGACAAAATAGGCGACGTAAGTAATAAATAGTTTCGTCTTTTTGTTAATAATATAGTTGATCTAATTTTTTGAGTATTTTCGATCATAGCTATAAAACGTGACATTGAGAAATGTAGACAATAAGCTGTTTTGTGGTAAACTTGCACTCTAAAGCACAGATAACTTATAATATAGATACGAGAAAAGAAATGATTCAGCCAAAGAGATAATGAATAATGTAAACACTGAAAAGAAATATATTTGAAGAAAAGTAGATAAAGTTAACGAATGACTGTGCTGACACCTGCAAGACAGGGTACCAGCTAATTTACGGACCGATTTTGACAAATATGTGTGAAATAAAATGTGTGTTCACTTGAATATTAATCAAATAACACAATGATAGAGTTTTAAAAAAATATAATTTCAAACAATGAATGGCATCAGTATGATAGTTCCTTGTCCTGAAACATTGATTAATTATATGCGTACTATTTTGAGTTTACTAATTATCTGATTTTTTCCCGCATAAAATATTTAAAATATTTACAGATTCCAAAGATGGGAAGTTCCCGCATAATAGATGCATGCATAGCTGTAGACGCTTACTGTATCGACGCACCCGGCATCGCTCCTTTAGGTCATGCGATTATATCTATTTCTTGTTTCATACCATGATTTTTCTTTATAAACGATTAATTATATTTGAACACTGGTTAACTTCAATTGTCTTAATACAATGATATTATACCTCAAAGTTTGTTAGCAGTAAGTTTTTAAATACATGTTGATGCGTCGAACTGTCAATGTTGTTTTTTGTAGCAACATCACAGTTTCCTTTCACCATTCCAACACATACTTTATAATGTAAAGATAAGTGGGGATGGTAAAATCCTTTCCATTCTGCAGCAAGAGAATCAGACTTCACAGAAAAATCAATGTCAATAATGTCCTGAATAAAAAAATTCATAACATAATAAATGATAGGAAATACATTGTTTAACAGTTATAGTTTTAGGGGATTTAAATTTTAAAAAAGTGTAGAAGTTAACAAATAAAATTGAGAATGGAAATGGGGAATGTGTCAAAGAGACAACAACCCGACCATAGAACAGACAACAGCAGAATGTCACCAACAGGTCTTCAATGCAGCGAGAAATTCCCGCACCCGGAGGCGTCCTTCAGCTGGCCCCTAAACAAATATATATACTAGTTCAGTGATAATGAACGCCGTACTAAACTCCAAACTGTACACAAGAAACTAAAATTAGAAATAATACAAGACTAACAAAGGCTAGAGGCTCCTGACTTGGGACAGGCGCAAAAATGCGGCGGGGTTAAACATGTTTATGAGATCTCAACCCTCCCCCTATACCTCTAGCCAATGTAGAAAAGTAAACGCATAACAATACGCACATTAAAATTCAGTTCAAGAGAAGTCCGAGTCTGATGTCAGAAAATGTAACCAAAGAAAATAAACAAAATGACAATAATACATAAATAACAACAGACTACTAGCAGTTAACTGACATGCCAGCTCTAGACTTCAATTAAACTGATTGAAAGATTATGTCTTCATCATATGAATATCAGGCACAATCCTTCCCGTTAGGGGTTTAGTATCATACCATCATAACATATATGAGAAGAACATAACCCGTGTCATGCCAACAACTGGTTTTTAAATAAATGTGTTTAGTGCCGATGCAAAGACCCTATAAGTGAATCAATATTAACGCCAAAATATGCAATCTTTAATGACCTGACAACAGTATCGTAACTAGATCCCTTCTTAATAAGTCTATTTAAAGGTTTTGTTAGCTTCAGAGGTGAATACTGACATTTTTGTGCCTTATAAAGAATATTTCCATAAAAAATTGGATGTGAAATACCTGAACGTATAAGTCTGCATGTTGAGCTATATTTACGAATGATGTCCTTATACCGATGATAAAATTTAGTAAATGTTTTGACTAGTTTGTGATATCGAAAACCCTGGTGTTATAATTTTTCAGTAATACATAAATTTCTCTCGTTAAAATCTAAAACATTGTTACATACACGAGCGAATCGTACAAGTTGAGATATATAAACACCGTAAGATGGTGACAAGGGAACGTCACCATCTAAAAATGGATAATTAACGATAGGAAATGAAAAATCATCTCTTTTATCATATATTTTAGTATTAAGCTTTCCATTAATGATATAGATATCAAGATCGAGGAAAGGGCAGTGGTCATTGTTAGTATTAGCTTTATTTAAAGTAAGTTCAACAGGATAAATTTCTTTAGTATACAAACTGAAGTCGTCATTATTGAGAGCCAAAATATCATCCAAATATCTAAAAGTATTATTAAATTTGTGTATCAGATGTTGTTTCGATGGGTCTTTGCTGATTTTTGTCATAAATTGTAACTCATAGCAATACAAAAAAAGGTCCGCAATAAGTGGTGCACAGTTAGTCCCCATTGGAATTCCGATAACCTGACGATATACGGAATCTCCAAAGCGAACAAAAATGTTATCTAGTAAAAATTCAAGGGCATATATAGTATCAAAGCATGTCCAATTGACATAGTTTTTTTGTTTATTGCTACTAAAAAATGACCTAAAAGAGTTTGAACAGATATATTCACATTCTGACTTTTTAAATGCCCATTTAATTAGGTGTGTGAATTTTTTCTTAATGAGAATGTGAGGCAATGTGGTATATAGGGTAGAAAAATCAAAACTTTGAACAGATTCAAAATCACCAATATATGCATGTAATTTATCAAGTACTTCCAACGAGTTCTTGACACTCCAAAAGTAATTAATTCCACTATTTTCGAAGGCCTTATTTGAACAATTTATTATCAGGTTTTTGATTGTACCAAGTGTACTGGTAAGAAGAATAGACAATTTAGTAGTGGAACAATTGCTTGAAGACGAAATGAATCTATATTTGTAAGGTGTTTTGTGTAGCTTCGGAAGCCAATACATAGTTGGGACTTTCATTGTATTTGGTTTTGTTTGTAAAGCGGTAGCTAAAAGTTTATGTTTGTTACAAATGTCGTTTTCTGAAAATGGAGTCAGTTGGAATGTTGGTGAATTGGTGATTTCTTTTTTCAGAACCTCAATGTAAAATTTACGTCAAACAATATTAATATCATTAGCAGCTTTATCGGCCGGGACAAAACAAATTCCTTGGCTAGTTCTTTTAGTTTATGTTTGATACGAGAAATAGGTTTGTTGTGGTTATTGTTAAGAGTAAAATGTTCTTTAAAATGTTGAATACGTATATCAACTATGTTCATTACTGAATTAAAAAAAGAGTCCAAAGATTTTTTGTCAGCTTTTTCCCGTTTTATCCATTTCAAACAGTAAGTATGGAGTGAGTCGTGGATGATATTACGACACTCATTCCAATTAATAATTGACGGGGGACGATATTTAGGTCCTTTACTGAGGAATGATTTTAACTCTCGGTCTTGAACGATGTTAAGATCTCCTGTTATAACATGGGAAATGGGTCCATAAATGTATTCGGAATTACTGCAATTACATGAAATAGGTGTATTTTCACTGATATTAACATCTTTACACAATTGGCTATAATTAAACACAAATTTCCGGGTAGATTTCTTGTAAATATAACAAATAAGAGGGAGCTCAGTATTATCAAAATATCCCGGAATTTGTTCTTTAACAGAATGGTCGTTAAAAATACCGGCAATATTTACAAAATCAAAACCTTTATTGACATACTTTATTTTAATAAACTGTTTTTTATGATCTTCAGGGCGATCAATTTTGGGAAACAGTTTAGAATAACAATATGCCATTATAATTTGAACGATTTCATACTTAGGACTGCTATATAAAATTGTGTTGCAATCCTCTAAAATTTTATTTAACTTATTAACCGGTAATGAACAGAGCTTTGTTAAAAGATAATGTCTGCCGTTGTTTTTTGAAATAGAAATTAGGTCCGAAATATTGGTATGATTAGTCCGAAATTTTCTTTGATTGCGATTTTTTCTACGACCATGAGAACGGTTTTTACGAACAGTTTTAGAAACTATATCCAAAATGTTAACAGAATCGGTTCTTGATATATTACCAATTCCCATGATATTATCATTAAGACCGAGAGGGTAGACTGTCTGTAAAGCATGTTTTAACAAGCTCACCAACTTATATATTGAATATTTATGTTTTGGTGTATTCTCATCGCATTAAACATCTTTCAATCATTAACAGAAAGTTTAAAAAAAAACGAACATCTTTATTTCTTATTTTGATGAAAACAATATGAAATATATGTTTGTTTCTATTTGTCGACTTCATTAGGGGAATCGACCCAAATTTAGTTATTACCTTTAAAGAACTATCATTGACATTGTATGGATTTATGTCATACACTATCCCAGCAGACGGTAACTGTATGTCGTGTGTATAAACCACTGATGTCTGTGTAGTGGACAACTCAGCAAGATTTGTAACTTTAACGGTGACATAGTAATTATGATGTCCGTGTAATGACCAGTCCAGTGACGATGTGTCAATAGCTGTGCAATGAGGTGGTTCTGTCTTAATACATTTGGTATTGTACTGTAGTGGACGATAAGAAATAACATCTGTTCCACCTGCAGCATGACCTAACAAAAGTATGGTATGGGTAATTGCATGATACATAATGAGATATGTTGTAGTTTAAATCCTAGAAGTGTGGTTACAAAGCTTTCAATTTTGAACGATGGTCACCAACCCATTGTATCAAAATGTGTGAATTTCTACGAACTCACTATGAAATTAAAATGTGGTGCTTTCATGCTAAAAATGTTATATAGTTTCCTTACACCAACAAACATCAAAACAAATCTTGTCTAACATCCGCACATTATTGTCTGGTAATATTTTCAAAGAACAAGCAGGAATTTTATTTTCGTTTCGATCTTCATAATCGACAATCTATAGAAACATTAACGTTCTATACTTTTATTTTACAAAAATATATTCATTAAATGTATTAAAGAACTATATGCAATAAATAAGAATAACCACAAATTATAACCTTGATTGCGAATATGCTTTGTTTCTAGAGTACTGATGAAGTAAATACAAAAAAGAACTAGATGTTTTTGCTTCAGATAGGTATCTTATGTTGATGTAAATTTTCTTCGATATTAGAATTGTGCTTATAATATTTCATTGACTATGGAACGGTATTTGGGGAAACATTTAAATTCAAACATGGCCTGCAATTTAGTGAAGACATTAATGTTGCGAGCTATTCAAGTCATGCTCTAAAATTTACTTTAATCATTTATCGGTGTTAAAAGCTCTTGAAAAAGAGAGCCGAAAGATACCAAAGGGATATTCAAACTCATAGGTCGAAAATAAACTGACAACGCCATGGCAAAAAAACAGACCAGATCAAAGACAAACAACAGTATACAAAACGTTATGTATAAAACTAAAGAATGAGCAACACGAACCCAACAAAAAACCCTCGTTGATCATACGTGCTTCTGAAGGGTAAGCAAATCCTGCTCATTTTAGTACAAACCCGGTGATAAGTCTAATTTAATAGGTTACATTCGGGGAAATAGAGGACGGAACTTTTTATTTGATTTTGCCTTCTTACTGTTTTAATTTTTAATTTGATTGCACTGATGATTCTTGTGTAGACGAAATACACGTCTGACGTACATATTTATAACTCTGACTCTTTATCACCGAGGCCAACGGGTAGATTGAAAAAAAAGCAAATTACTTAAACGTGATGTAAAATAATAAGTTCAACAAGTAATTAAATAAAACATACACATGTCGAAATCCTGAAATTCTCTTATTTCTACAATTTTCCGAAAAATCAAGTACTAGCAGTGAATTTGGAATTGAACTGCATTCAAGGCTGATACGATAAAGAATGGGGTACATAAATAGAAAGGAAATTGTTGATGAGCCTTCAAATTCTGTATACAAACTGTTATTCATTTGATACTGTATGTTGAGATACACTGTGACATTTCTTTTGACGGTCATATATATATTGACTGGTTTAAAAAGATGCAAAGTCGTGTTTCAAAATTTCATATTGGGTCAAGATAGAAAATTTTTAAGACCGATCATTTACGAATTTGGTAATGTTTTTGGGGTTATATAAGAGTCAATTTTCAAACCGCTATTGCATAATACCTAATCACTTGACATAACATATCAATATACTCTATGGGAGTAGTTCCAGGGCATCTGAGAACAGTCCGAGTTTTGGTGGGCTCCTGTTGCTTAGTCTTTAGTTTTACTGTTGTGATATATAAACTGTTTTTTCGTCGTTTTTTTTGCCATGGCGTTGTCATTTTCACTTCAGATTTGAATTTCTCATTTGTAATTTCTGCCTCCTTTTTCTAAAGGCCTATATCACCATCAGCATATAACATATGTAATATTTCAGGAAATTTCTAGGAATTGCAAGTAACATGGTGGTTATAGGATCCATTTGACTTTTATTACAAATATGTTTACAACAAAAATACTGCTTTAATTTTTCGAACAAACCTAATGCAAACTGATATTTAAGAGGATGAGGATCCTCTTCATCCGTAAATGCTGCCCTGGACCAATTAGCAATAAGTGTTCCCTCTTTGAACTCCATATCAATGTGTGAACCAGTAAAAACTGGAGCTGTAACGTCTATTACAACAGGACCATAACTCTAGACCAATCAAAAAAGGCAAAGTTATTCAGAATTATAAGAAAGATTTTGTTTCTAAATTAAAAACAATGTTGTACCCTTAACATATATATATAGGAAGTTCGTAGAATACTGATGACCAATTTTGTATGGTCTTGAAATACGATATGATGTTTTCCTGCGTGTATATGCAACATGTTCGTATTTCATGAGATATTTGTACACATGTTAATTATATCACCACATTTCTGCGCAAAGTCATAAACATCCTAGTCAAAAATCCCCAGTCCTTATTCTGCGATATGTAATGAAAGTTTTTTGGGTCATTCTTATTAGGTAACCTGAGTACCAAAATTTGGGAAAGAAAAAATATGAAAATACAAGGTATCTCAAAGACTATCGCTCGGTAGTACTGAGTACCAAGTTCCCAAATTATACTCAACCAATAGGTTTCTTGCTAGGAGATTGTCCCTTTCCTTTCATAAAATGGAATTTTAAATACATCAGTGACTTCTAATAAACACACCTTTATATGTGTTGTATTAACGATTAAAAAATGTAACTGATGTTTCATCTGGTTTTACGATGTAAACATTTATATTGAATGTGTGTTTATTTGATTGTTGATAATCTTATTGTTTACTTAATTACTGAACGTATTAAATGAGCTATTGATTACAGTATATAATGTTTGCGACTTGTATCTAGTTTCAGATAATTCTGTAAAAGAAAGAAGCGTTCATAAGACGACGAACCACAATACGTAGAATGTGTGAAATTGTGTTACTATTTTGTAGATATTTTTTCGAGCAAGTGTTCGAGTATTGCTGGATAAAACCGACGAGTACTCGATTAGAAATTCTTCACCGAGCAAATACACAACTAAATGTTCATACAAGAATAGTCATATCGGTAAAAATCAATTATGTTTAAAAAGTAAACATTCCTAAATCAATATAATATATTTACCTGAATACCATCAACATTGGCTTTACTGGTAGATTTTATGATGATGTAAAACAATATCCCTTCAGAAAGGTCCGGATAATTAAGTCTGAAATGTTTGTGGTGTTTGGTTGAGCGGAACGGTAAAATATCTGGAGCAGGATTGTTTTTTGTAGATGATAGTCCTATATGGTAGTCGTGAACAAATATATCGTCCATATTTGAATCCCATTTCATGCTTAACTTAAAATATTAATTAAGATATCTTAATGATAAATGATTACAAACACAAAATACATTAAAGTTTTGTTTGATGGCTAATGAGTCAAATATGGTATGTCAAACCACACTGATTCTACTGGTATCTCTCTCAAAAAAAAAAACAAAAAAACAACAGTATATTCTACGCAACATAAAATATCTAACAAAAATTATCAACACGAACCCCATTGTTTAACCGTGTGTGATATCAAGTGCTCCGGAATGGTGAGGTGTAAACAATTACAGGTTAAATCATTGACATTGTTAACGTTGTTATTTTTCTCATGTTCATGGTCAATACACTCACTATTAAAAAGTAAAATATCAAAAATACCGAACTTCAAGGAAAATTCACAAAGGAAAGTCCCTTATTAAATGTCACTTTTGAACCATGAACAAAAATGCATACGCTGTCAACAAATAGGATTTAACATCGTTCTGTATTCATACCATCCCGGTTATTATAAGAAAAGTCGCAAGTAAGATCTAAATCAACAAATAATTTTTCCCTTTCAGATAGTATTATCAATTACCAAGTAAACTTATCAAATATTTCATTCGTGTGTATGGACAGTTTTTACATTTATTCACTATTTTTTTTAAGTATTGACTAAGCGCACACCCAACCTTCTCATTTTATTCATATCTAGTAACTCCCAGTGGCAAAGTCAACATTATTTGAATTTGGCTGTTTTCAACCCTTCTTGGTCATATAGCTATACATAAAGGCAACAGTAGTATACCGGTGTTCAAAAGTCACAAATCGATTGAGATAAAACAAATCGGGGTTACAAACCAAAACCGAGGGAAACACATAAACTATAAGAGGAAAACAAAGGAATATCAGGAACACCAAAGTGCAACAAAAAAAAAAACAAACGCCAACACACATAGAAACGAACTATTTGATAGCAACTGCCGAAAAACACCACAGGATATCAAAAACAGTGACGCGCTTACGTAACTAACATGCAATCTCGAATTTTATACAATTATTTTCACTATATTCGTTCTAACAATTTTCATGACAATGATGGTATGGAAAGGCAATTTTATAATTATTTGGACTACAAACGATAATACATAACAGAAACCTAAAAAAAAATCCATTAATGTTGGATGTACAAAACACCGATCCACGCCGCACAGCAATGCAAATTCAAATTCCTGAATATGACAATGATGGTATTGAAAGGCAATTTTATAATTATTTGGACAACAAACGATACGACATAACACATTATTCAACCGAAACTATAACGAAAACATCAAAATTAAATACATGAATGTTGGATGTACAAAATACCGAGAATAGGGTATTTCACATCCAATCTTTTATGGTAATATTCTTTACAAAGCACAAAAATGTCAGTATTCACCTCAAAAGCTAACAAAACCTTTAAACGACTTATTAAGAAGGGATATAGTTACGATACTGTTGTCAGGTCATTAAAGATTACATATTTTGGCTTTAATATTGATTTACTTAATATAGCGTCTTTGCATTGGAATTAAACATATTTATTCTAAAACCAGTTGTTGGCATGACACGGGTTATGTTCTTCTCATATATTTTATGACGGTAAAATACTAAACCCCTAACAGGAGGGATTGTGCCTGATATTCATATGATGAAGACATAATCTTTCAATCAGTTTAATTAAGGTCTGGAGCTGGCATGTCAGTAACTGCTAGTAGTCTGTTGTTATTTATGTATTATTGTCATTTTGTTTATTTTCGTTTGTTTCCTATTCTGACATCGGACTCGGACTTCTCTTAAACTGAGTTTTACTGTGCGTACTGTTGTACGTTTGTTTTTTCTACATTGGCTAGAGGTATAGGGGGAGGGTTGAGATCTCAAAAAACATGTTTAACCCCGCCGCATTTTTGCGCCTGTCCCAAGTCAGGAGCCTCTGGCCTTTGTTAGTCTTGTATCATTTTTAATTTTAGTTTCTTGTGTATAATTTGGAGTTTAGTATGACGTTTATTATCACTGAACTAGTATACATATTTGTTTAAGGGCCAGCTGAAGTACGCCTCCGGGTGCGGGAGTTTCTCGCTGCATTGAAGACCCATTGGTGGACTTTTGGCTGTTGTCTGCTCTATGGTCGGGTTGTTGTCTCTTTGACACATTCCCCATTTCCATTCTCAATTTTATTTCTACATCCTTGGCTTTCAAATGTTTTGGTTTGAGCGTTTCTGATGAAGTCTTATTTAGAAAGCGCTTTAGTGCACGAAATAAATAATGTTATTTGAGTAAAACGCCTAAAATATAATATGCAAATGTCTGTGAAGCACAATTAAGAATAGTGAATTTTATTCTCATTCTGTACAACCCTGGAATATATAACAGTATTGAAAAGAATTTATAGAGGTTTTCCATGTGTATATTTTTAAATCATCCTTTGTTGCAATAAAAACATTTTTGAATAGTTTATAAAAAAAAATACTCACCTGTGATGTTCTTGGTAGAACTGATATAAACGTTGAAGATACTGACGGTAAGTTTGAACAATCTATATCTATCTCATCTGCTTCTGGTAACAATTGAACATCCTCAGTTAGTGAAGTGATGTGGCTTAAAACAAATGCATTGGTTTAAAATGGTTCTAAAAATTCAAATATTAAAGTTCATTAATTATCATCATGCCAAATATAAAATGTTTTCATTCCATGTCAATTTCGTTTTGGCTTTTTTGGTTTTATCAACTCTTAATAGTTAGTTTTATGTATTGCATCTTCCTGTTTTTTGTGATTATGTATCACTAAAGAGATATTATTATGCGGCAAAATTGGTACAGTTATTGTAATTATAATACATTTTCACTCTTAGGTTTTTTCTCCTAGGCATACATGGCCTAAGCCGTATTTGACACAACTTTTCCGAATTTTCTAGTAAAAAATCTCTTCTACTTCGTATTTGATTTTGCCTCCAAGCTGTTTTGATTCAAGCGCAACTGATGAGTCTTGTGTACACAAAAAGCACGTCTGGAGTTGCAAATTATAAGCCTATAGTCACTGCCCTACTGATGGACACCAGCCTAGTAGTCAGCACTTTTGTGGTGTAATGAAATATCAATAACACGTTCATTTTCAGTAAATTTTGAGGTTATAGGTTATAGAATTTTAAATTACTCGAAAACACTTATGTATTTCTACCCCAGACAAAGACTGCCTTAGACGTATTTTGCACAACTTTCCGATTTTTTAATTTTCAATTCTTCAAATTCGTATTTTATTTGGGCTTCCAACTATTTTGATACGAGCGCCACTGATTACTCTGTTGTATATTTATATGCCTGGTATTTCTAATTAATTTTTAGGGTATAAAAAATTATGAGTTTCTGGCTACAAATATAGAAATATCGTCAATTTACAACAAAACTCATCTGGAACAAATCGCTGGTACATTACTAGCATACCTGCAAAGAGAAGTATCATTCACAACAATCCTGGAAAGATGTTTTCCAATAATCCACAGTGTATTGCTGGTGTCTTTGACAAGTAAAGGACCTATACTAGCCCCATCTAAAACAAAATTTGTGGCACCTGGTTTGTCTGTCATTATTGTAACACCATCAGAACAAATAGAATCTGATGCTTCATTCGCACTGTTGATGGCTATAACTGTCATATAATATTTTCCCTCTTTTCTGGCGATGTAATTTGTAATTGTTTTATATGTCTCTATCCCCTATAAAAACCAATAGAAATAGAACACCTGTCATTCAATGAAATGAAATGAAAAAGAAAAAAGAAATTATATGTTGTCAAGCTTAGAGATCCAGACCTAAAACCTTAAAACTTAAATATGACTATTGTATAGCATTTCATATCGTGTAATAATTTGAGGCATTTGTGAAATGCCTTAAATACAAATTAAATACCTGCAAAAATACCAATTTATCAACTGTTTGTATCTGACAGGCATTTTAAGAAATGTCGTAAATTTTCAGCGTTTAGAAAATGCCTGTAACATATACATACGTGATCTTATGGGAGTAAACATTTAGAGTGGGATCAAGAAAACCACGTAATAAACATAAATATATGATTTCTATAATTTTTTATCACCTGAAAATTACTTTACATTGACAAAAATTGTAATGTATGGTTTTAAGCGTCTTGGCATAATTAGTTAAAAGTTGGACGACGTATTTCACAAAATCCATAGGTTGGCAATCACATGTCTCACAAGGTTCGTTTATAAAGTTACGCATGTCCGTGTTTTATTGAAAATTCTTTTATATGCGATATGTTCGTAACTTAGTATACGCCATTTTCTATATGAGGAAATGCCTGTACCAAGTCAGGAGTATGACAGTTGTTTTCCATTCGTTTGATGTGTTTGAGATTTTGATTTTGCCATTTGATAAGGGACTTTTCGTTTTGAATTGTCCTTGGAGTTTTTTGTCATTTTACTTTTCTTTTTGTTTAATAGATACAATAATGAGAAGAGATATGTGACATTCTTACTTGTTTATCTACCAAATTTGAAACAAGCATTATTAATATGTTTACCTCATTGCTGGCAAATAAGACTTCTTTTGACCAACAATGATCAGATACGATATATTTGTAATATTTGACTCCACTCTCTGGATCAAAGAACCCATCCCAATAGAAGTTCAGGTATAATTCCTGTTGATAATCAACTTCCGGACTACCTTGCAATCCATCATGAACTGTCCCTGTTTGTGGTGGGCTTATGTCAATAGTTATCTGCAATAACATAAAACATTGATTAGGATATGTCAAATTAAAGGCAGTTAATGGAAACAAATATTCTGGTTTCAGACGGACGACGAAGAAGACGAAACACCAATACCATTAAAGGAAGCGCAATTGTGCAGACAATGAAAACTATTCTTAACCATTTGTAATTCAGGTCTAACATACTTTGAAGTATTTTATATTTGTCCTAGAATTGTACAGACAAGTTCGGCAATAAGGCTATATTATTGTCGGAAGGTACGGCTCCCTATTTTTCGCGATGTGATTACATATTAACATATTAACCCCTGTCTTTTTCATAGTCTTTCTTTTTTCTTTTTTGTTTTGAAATATTGCAATGTATGTTCCAGATGGTTTGTGCTGTTTAAAATGTAGCCTCTTGGTGGGGTTCGTGTTGCTTAGTCTCTAGTTTTCTATGTTGTGTCATCTGTACTATTATTTGTCTGTTTGTCTTTTTATTTTTGGCCATGGCGTTGTCAGTTTGTTTTCTATCTATGAGTTTGACTGTCCCTCTCTTAATCTTTATAGAGTATCAATTACGTATGAAGAACACTGTGTAATCGTGGTTGATTTATTTTATAAGATTGGTTTAGATGTTTACTTTACCTTTTTCGTTAGAACTGATGTAAGCATGGCTTTATTGACAACTGTAATTTCTATGAAATAGTCAGAGTCATGAACACCCTTATCTTTCCCGGGAGTTAAACCAGCTCCGTTTACTATTTCCGGCTTAACATGAAAATGTCGGTGGTAACATCCATGATATATGGTACAATAACAATCGGGTCCACGAGGAGAGTTCTGATATTTGTCTTCACAAGAAGTCATATTCTGAAAAAAATCATGACGATTATAATTAACCATTATTTCCAGTGTGTCATATTTTTGTTGACAAATATGACAAATAAATATCAATGTGATTGCTGGAAGACATATTTAGATGAATTTAATTATACTATTTTAACTAAGGACTTTTTGTTTGTTTTTCGCCGGTTTCAGTTTATGACAAAATAAAGTATGGTTTCAAAACAATAAAAAACCAACAGAATACAAAAAATCTGTGAAGGACAATTTTGCCCGAGGGAATTTCATGACGAGTAACTGCATTCATGTTGTTTTAACCGGGTTTTGTGTCACTCAATATATTGATATCTGTATAGTGTTTGGAGGACTTCCCCTTACTATATTCTCGATTTTTCAGTTATAGTATACTAGAAGAGGAGCAAACATCACTCAATTCAAACTTTAAAAGAATAAAGTATCAAAGACTACCCTATTTTCAAAGAATTGTATTTTCCTAGTGAAAAAATGTTTACACTCAAGCGTCAGGCTTGCAGTTACTGTTGTGAGAATAACACATTTTAGAATTTGGCTGATATATACACTGATACGGTATAAGTTGCTTCACGTCAAGTTTATATTATATGTATTTAATTTTGCTAAAAAAAAAAGTATGGCAATGAACGAAATAAATTGGCCTTAAAATCAAACTTTGACCATATGTAAAAACGTATATTTACGATCTTAAATATGCATATTTAAATAAAATCAACACTTTTGTTATCTGTTATTCGTTTTAAAAGTGTTGACAGTTTCAAAAGTATGATATTTTACAAGTTCAAATGCAAATTGCCAGATTTTATGAATTAGTAAGGTCTTCTTCTTCTGAGAAAAATTGGCCACACCCTTCGACCAAAGTAAAATTGTTATAAAAAATTACTGTGGGTCATGGTGGTCTTTGCATGTGGCCAATGTCGTTTAAAGTAAAAACCATTAAAATTTATGGAAACAACTATCCAAAATTATGATTTTCTTCATAAGGGTACACAATTATTTGTCAGATATGTTTACCTATTTTGGCATCAAATTTTTATTTTTATTACTAAAATTAAATTTCACGGAATTTTAGGGCCAATATGGACCATTAGTGAACCAACTCCTTTTCACTCCGAGTATACCTGGTGACATTTTCAAGAAATTAACCTTATACACACTAAAGTCGTTAACATAGTTTTTATTCAGATATTCAATATCCGATGTTCACCAATTCCTAGGTGAAGTCTTAATATTGTTGCATCTACATTAAAAAATTTCTCGTATTGATGTATGTATTAACCCGTCATTTTTCTGATGTACTTTCTTTTTTTCATGAATATTTCATTGCTGGTCATTTTCCAAAAGACAAGAATATGTTAATGTTTCATTGCAAAACATTATTATATGTGCATTATTATCCAGCAAAGACATATAAGAATGATTAAATCTGGAAATAAGATGACTTATTGATATTACGGAAGCATCTCCTTGTGCCGTTACATGCGAACTTCCATGGAGTACGTCAGATCCCGTGTAATTATCATATATCTTCCAGTGTACACTGTATATACCACTATGATAATCATATGTATCCCATTCAAACCTTTAACAAAAATAAAATGATTGTTGTTATATTTTTACAGTTATAAGTCTCCACAAAGAAGTTCTCATAAGCGTTAAATGTAAAGCTTAATATCATTTCAAGATCATCAATTTGCTATTATGCATTTACGTTTTACAGAATATTAATCAGATAATGTTTTATTTGATCTTTAAAGATAAATTAGAAAATATATATAATAAACACATACGTCATTGTTGATAAGTCTTCTAACCGATGAACAAATAATTCTGTTTTGTTGCCATAGGATAACCAAAGGTTTTCTATTTCCGGATTGGAAATGTCTTTATAAATTGTTATTGTATCTTCTGTATATTCCCCAATAATGTCAGTAGCTTTTACGCTAATGTCCATTTTTTGCCCATCTTCCCATGTGACGTACAAAATCTCCGATTCCTGTAGGATGTCTGGTACATCTGTATAACCTTGGAACGATTTAACATCGGGTCCAGTCACTGTAAAGTTGATGTCAAATTTGACGACACCTACACAAAACAAACAAGTTTGTTAACGAACAGACGTTCTTCAAATTTCACATGGTAGTAAGAACAACGTATATAGCGGTCATGAATTTAAAATAAAATGCTGAAGACATTAACTCCTAGATCTTGGAAAAAAAGAAATAGACTTAACTTTAAAACTTAATTTTGTTTTATTTGGTATTCTAGAGAAAACAGATAAAAATTAAATGAGAAACTTAATAACCCATTTAACAAAATTCTATATTTTTCTTTTTTGGGGAGAGGGGATTTTTGTTTTATTGATATGTTTTTTTTTTTTATTACCTGTTTTTTTTTTTACCTATACTCATGTACTAGCTTATAAATAAAATATGATTTGTCTAATAACGATCAAAATATATATTAAGCATGAGTGAAATATTTTTTGTCAAATGAATTACTGTTTAGTTTGAAAAAAAAAATAATAGCCTGAAATACAAATTTATCTGTACCTTTGATATTTGTGAACCAGTCTACAGTTCGTCTTCCAAATTTATCATCATAAGTATTATCAACATGACTATTGCTTTCTATTTTATGCAGCCATTTATAAATATCATGTCTTTCATTTATAAATCGTCCAGGCCACGTGACATGTAGTAAACTGGATTCCGTAGTTACCCATTCATAATCTGTTTCCAAAGTACTTTCGGTGACTATCATTCTGGTACCAGATGTTATTTCAACAAATGAATTGTCGTCAAAGAAAAATAAAGATCTGGTAGATTTATAGTTCCCGGCTTTATCAAAAGCAGTCAGAATAATGGAATACATTCCTGGTGTGGTCACATTTAAGTCACTCTGAAATGAGTATTTGTACGGCATATGCTTTATGTTTATTTATATTTTGACAGAAAGTAATATGATTCACAATTTTTTTATAGGTTTGACTATTATTACAAAATTATACTAAAGCAAAAACTTGGCGTGCAAAGTAATTCCAAAATTACTCTAATGATACTCTCGCATAGTAATCGCCCACTGAAGTGGCATACATTTGACATGTCAACGCTGTAGCAGCAATTTGCCACCATAGCCTTCAAACAACAGCGTTCAGCTGAAGTTCTTTAAGTGATATACGAAATTAAGCAGAATGTAGACATTTCATTGGCGTTGTTTCATTCAATCCATCTGACAATGCAATACTCGCATTTGATTGTATTTTTATGAAGTTGTCAATTCTACAGAGCTTCAAAACAAAAAACAAATATGATTTTCATCGCCAAAATATCAGTTAAAGAAAGTGCCAAATTAGGCAAAAATATTTCTCATTTGCCAAAAAAACAAAACTTCCAACTTTGAGCCTTAATTTTCTCAAAAGTATTGCTGTTACTTGATTTATTTGGTGATTTTTCAAAGAATGTAACTTAAAATACAAAAATTCGATTTGACCGATTCCATATTTCATAATTGTGAAAAAATAGAGTACAATTAAAGGTAAATAACTTTATTCTTACCTCTGATACAGATGGCAAAGTTCTGTTGGACGAAGTTAATTTGTCTCCTTCCATAAGAACGTCACCATAAGGTTGTAAATGAAAAACTTCATACTCGTATCCATCTAATCCTGCCAAATCATCATTCCACTGTTTCCAAGAAAACGTAACAATGTTCTAAAATATATTGTGTTACTTTGAGATAGAAATTTTACTAATTCTTTAAATCTATGGTCTGAAAACACTTAAGATAATCAAAATAAATGATGTTATTGAAAAATATATAATTTTAGTCAATAATTACTTTAAATATTGTTTGTAATATAATTATTCAAAACAGAACAATTTAAAAGTGTCATTTTTAGGAAAGTCTACCGCTTGATTCCCTTAAAACATTTAACTTGGATTAACTTATACCTAGAATAAGGTTGGCAAAATTCCTACTATGAGCTAGACTAATCTCATTGGCAATCATACCACATCTTCTTTTTTATAATCATAATTGGCTAAATATTCAAAAATAAGTCATAACTTGTTCATCATTTAAGAAAGAAACATAAATTGCTGCTTAACTATCCGACCAACTGGAATAAAACATTTTGGAATAATCTCTATTTATACTCTCAAATGTCAAGTTCAGCAAAAAATGGCATGATATCTTTAAAACAGGATTCGTGATATTGCAAATACTTGTAAATACTCCGCGTATGGAGTATATATTTCTCAATTCACACGATATTCAAGAACTTGCTACTCAGACTTTGTAAAATGTCATCGGCGTCTGGGCAAACAAATATTGAGCAAGGGTTTTGTCAACGAGCGTCTCGTCTTTTTTCTAAAAAAAAATCATCGGAAAGTACCAAGACATAACAGATAGATATTTAGTATCTACTTAACAAATGATACAGGATTGTCTTGAGTTATAGATTCTAGGTGCTGATGTTGTGTATCATTTTATTTACTTTTTTTCCCTTGATTTGTCTTTGAACTATAATGCTCCTTTTGATCGTATGACTATTGACGTGACTCAGTATTTGTGCATCCAGCTATCGGGTTTTTGGCTTTGGTCGTTCATAATTCAGGTGTGTCCAGATGTACGTCTGATTTAATTGTATGTTTAGTTGTTTGAATTTTAAGTCAGGTGTGTCTGTGATGTATGTTTACAGAGTTTTGGGTGCTGGATCCCAATTATTGGAAAAAGTGTATATGAAATTATGTTTATCTATACTGTATGTACTATCAACTACAAAAACTATTTTCTTCAGAAAATGCTTGTACCAAATCATGAATATGACAGTTATTTTCCATACGTTCCGTTGATTGATACAGTCGAACATTTGAATTTGTCAGGTTTTCCCCCTTTTTAGATTTACATTGGCATTCGGTATTTTTGTTAATACTTTTATTAACTTATGTAACTTACGAGTAAAGACTGTCAAACAAGAAATTCATGTAATTTTTTACCTGATCAGTTACATCTTGTATATCTATTGGTGATACAGTACAACCGGTTCCATGTAACTGAAAACAAGAATAATATGGGACTACATAATCCCATTGTACTGTGTAACTTTTAGTTGTAGTCTGCCCTGAAAGATACGATTTAATTGTCGATGATGTCTCTCTGTTAATATACTTCAGGAAACCACCGTTTCTAGCATCGATTGTAAATACTAATCTGTAAGAGAAAACATTGCTAAATGAGTGAAAACAAAAAGAAATATATACTGTAAATTCAGAAATTATTGCAAGGTTTTTATTAATGAGAATAATGCAACTGTTTGAGTATCGAAATAAACTCGCATTCTGATATCTGACGCATATATCTGTATGCAGCCTTTCCTAAAATTGCAATAATTAATCTCGCATTTATGTCCATTCTTCAAAAATCGAAATAATAGATAATAAATGAACGTACTAATTTCTGAATTTACAGTTTATAAATTCAGCAATGCTTAAAAAACATATAAAATATTTGTGGAACTTTTGAACACAATTCATATTATGATACCGAAGACTTTTGAATCGACTCATCACGCACGATTTCTCATTTGTTTTAATAAAGCAAAGGTTCTAGCTTTCTAATAATAAAAAATTAGAGGCTCTAAAGAGCCTGTGTTGCTCACCTTGGTCTATGTGCATATTCAACAAAGGACACTCTCCGACATTGTAGGCAATGAATATAATTCATAACAAAAATCTCTGTTTTGTTGATCTTGCATTTCTGATCATTAAGTCTGTTTAGCTTCTCTCTATCTTCTTTAGTTTTTGCTCAAAACACAAAAAAGGGTGAAAAAATCCTCATTTAAGGACGATCACTTATATAAAGTGTGACAGACAGTCTACTAACTATATCGGCAAAATTTGACTTGTTAGTAGATCTTGCCTTGCTGATTATTTTTGTGATTAAAAGTGTCTATTTACCTATTATAACTTTTATCTTATCAGGCAAAACGCAAAAAAAGGGCAATAACTCCAATAAGGAGTCGTCGGACGATTTCCTACATATTGTCTAAATTGTAGAACTTGTCTTGCTGATCATTTTTGCTTATTCAAGTTTCTATCTATGATCTATTATAATTTTTAAGATATGAGACTAAAAGGCAAAAATTTGGTAAAAATCGTTATCAAAGGGCAATAACTCTAATAAGGAGTTGACTGACAGTTTCGACCATGCATACTTATTTGTAGAACTTGTTTTGCTGATCATTTTTGCACTTTCAAGTTTCTCCCTATCTGTAATTATAGTTTTCAAGATAATAGGCAAAAATGAAAAAAAAAAATGATAAAATTTGTCATTTAAGGGCAATAACTCCTATAAGAAGTCATCTGACAGTTTTGACGTATATGACCAATTGGTAGAGCTTAACATTTTGAACATTTTTGCCCTGTCAGATTTTCTCTATTTGTAACGGTTTTTAAAATAATAGATAAAACTTGCATTTTATCGCTATGTTCTATTTTTAGCCATGTCGGCCATCTTGGTTGGCAGACCGGGTCATCGGACACATATTCTAAACTAGATACCCCATTAATGATCGTGGCTAAGTTTGGTTAAAATTTGGCCAAGTAGTTTCAGAGGAGAAGATTTTTGTAAAAATTAACAGACGACGACGGACGACGACGGACGACGGACGCCAAGTGATGAGAAAAGCTCACTTGGCCCTTCGGACCAGGTGAGCTAAAAAGCAATGCAGTTAAAAACTATAGGGAAGAATTTGTCCGGAATGGTTTTATACATCTTTCCTTTTGACATATTTTCTTCCAACTCATATCTGCCTTTGTGTTGAAGTCATGTTTACCTTTTTATTTTTCTTTGTGCTCTGTATTATTTTAGTTTGGTGTTTTTCTTTCTTCTCGTGAACGATACGTCTAAGATTTGTAGGATCTCGATCGCTCCTTATTACAAACCTTAACGTCGGTATAATACATCTACACAACAATTCACAATTTCCCCGTTTTTAGCATTTTTGGCCAAAACTATTGTAGATTTGGAAAAAAAACTCTAAGCTGTAAAATGTCCAGAAATACAAGACCTACGTATTAGTTAGCATAGCCGAAATGGTCAATCAAAAGAACGAAAACAAAACAACAAAAAGCAAAAACAAAAACAAATTACTAATATCAAATAACACAAAAAGCCGGAATACAAAATAAAAATATTCGGAAAATACCTAAACATGTCTGTAAAATTTTTCTTTGAAATGTTCCAAAAATAGTAAAAATTCCCGAGATTGAGAAAAGGCATGCAACTTAAATCTAAGTTAGTTTCTTTTCATCCTGTACAGCTAACATTACTGTCTAACTGTAGTCTTAATCTGTATATAGCAGTTGGATAACCATTTACGCCAACTGTGTAACACACTGTATGTATTTTAGTGGACTATCATGTAACAATTTTCTTAATATTTAAAAGAAAAAATAACTTACTTATCACTGTGACCGAATGTCGGAAGTGATACAGCACTGCCGTTGGTGTTTGTTCTTGAACATATGTAATTTTTTTTAATTGGGTTATCTTCCGTTGCAGGACAGCTGAATGTGTTGGTACTGGTAGTCGAGCCTGTAATTTGATTCCAAGAAATAATTGAAACTAGTGGTTACCCCTTTCCTGCCATGAACAATTTCATTATATAATACATTTTATTTAGTTTATTTTTCTCATTTCTGCGACAAGGATTTTCTTATTTTAACATTTATAACGCATAAAGTGATAATAAAACACAAGACATATTTATTTGATATGAGTACTCTCTTACCTTTAAGCTTCAATAAATCAATGAACTTGCTCTTTTAAGAATGTAAATCAGATTATCCAGGAATAACTTTATTATCAAAAAGTTTTATGTTTACCTATTATATATTCTAGTTTCATTTGTCCATATACAATACCATAGTCAAAATCTGTCACAAAGTGAGTATCGCCAGTTGTGTCGTGTGGAGGTGGTGTTCCGGAAGCTAAAAACTTTCCGCGAAATTCAATTTCCGCGGCATTAAGGTTGTTCTTGTTTGTAAATCTAACGGGTTGTGGTCCCGTGTCACTAGGATCCAATGGTGTTGTGATAGTTTCGTGTGACGGGTTGTGAAGTTTTATTTCCGCATAAAGAATCGTTGTTTTTTCGGTTACTACAAAAACAAGTTCACTTTTTATAATCTTAAAAAGAGACGAAGATACCAAAAACATATGTCGAAAATAAACTGGCAACGCCATGGCAAAAAAAAAAAGGAAAAAGACCAAAAGACAAACAACAGTATACAAAACACAGCATAGAAAACTAAAGACTGAGCAACACGAACCCCACAAAAAGCGGGGGTGATCTCAGCTGTTCCAGAAGGGCAAGCTTGTTGTTTTATGTATTTAATAAAACATAATTAAAAAACGTATGACTTCTAATTAATATAACTTCTACGCTAAAATAATAAATGAATAAAGTTTAAGATTAAGTTAAGTAAGTAGACATAAAAATTTGCAAATGCAGATATAATTTTTTACATGTAAAACTATTCGCTAAAAATGTATTGTGTTCGTCTAAAGGGCAAGTTCATATTATGGTCTTATATATGATGTCTCATTGGCGTATACCTAACATTTACTTTTATTCAAATCCTTAATAATAAAATTGAGAATGGAAACGGGGAATGTGTCAAAGAGACAACAACCCAACCAAAGAGCAGAAAACAGCCGAAGGCCACCAATGGGTCTTCAACACAGCGAGAAAAGTACTGAATAATTCGCCAATTAAATGAATATACCTAATATTTTTAAGCATTAAAATTGACTAGTAGCCATAGGCTCTGAAAAGAATGGCAATCCTTGTGCTCTGAAAGATGGGGACAAGACTGTATTATTATTATTTCTTTCATAGTAAAACGTTAGAAAATGTAAAAGGCTGTCGGGGTAATTACTTTAGCTGAATATTTTGACTCCTGTGAACACGGTCCAAATGTGTCTGCGGTAGTTCAGAGACAGATTGGAAATATGGTGTATGTAATGATGAAAGCTTTAATATCGTGACTGAGTTAAATACATTCAATCACTAATGAACATCAAGAGACACGTTTCCCTTAACAATTCTGTATTGAGGATAAATGTCGACTTCTTCGAAATCTGAGACACAGACAACTTTTATTGTATTTTTGTTGAATCATGATTTATAAACTTATCTATCATAGTTTAGGACGATTCGAGGACAATTGATTCAACCAAATTGTGAACCTAATCACATCCCCTACCCTTGATGTGCCTGATAATTCTGAATCGACTGATAAAAAGGTCATGCACGTTTCAGGCTTATAATATAATATTACAGACGCGCATCACCGTCTTCATTAGACTCATTAGTGGCGCTCCAATTAAAACGATCACAAGGTCGAAATTGTTTATGCAGTTTAGGAGCTTTGAAAATCAAAAGTTCCAAAAGTTGTGTAAGTTAGTCTTAACCCACCTTTGTCTGGGATAGAAAAACCTTAGTATTTTGAATTATTTAAACATTTTATTTACAATAAGTTTACAGGACCGTGCCAATGATGTCATGTAAGCACAGGAGCAATGATTACTGTCTGGTGATAAAATTACATCTATTATGTGAATCATGGAATACGTTCCTACACTCCATACCATTTTCATTTGCCTTAAGAGGGATCTTCCATTTTATATGAGGTTTCTTAAACACATCTCTTATTGTTTAATACAATATAATTCATTTAAAACATAGAAAAAAATATAATGTCTGCATTATATTGATCGAATATCTATGTCTCAATATATAATAAAAATGGTAGAAATTGTAATAATATCATACTTGTGTCGCACTGACTTCCTCCAAAACCAGATGTACAAGAACATGTTTCTACTATTTCATTTGTACACTGTCCTGGGAAACATCTCGTACTGTCAGATCGCCAGGAACATGCCTCTAGTACCGATAAAAAAACAATAAGTCGATTATAAACTATGAAAAATTACACGAATCATAATATAAATGTTAAATTGTGTTCCAATAAACTCAAAAAAGCATATTTGTAAGGAGTAAAAAAACATTTTTGTTAATTTTTTCAAATAACGGGAGTCAGTTATCATCTATACTTCACTTCGATAAATGATTCAACTTTTACATTATTTCGTAAATTTCTTGTCATGGATTTAAAAACCGAAATGATAAGTGTGAAGTCAAATTATTTTCAGTATCAAATATAAATGATCAAAGGAAGCGAAACAGCATTTATTTTATTTAATTTCCAAACAAATTGATTAAAAGACATGCACATGCAGTCCTATAATATATCCTTTTGATTATTTATTCATCAATTTTTGTTAAGAACGGTGATATCTCTATAAACAGTTTGTTAACCATTCTTGAAAGTATTTTCTAACTGTTGTCTCATTTCAGTGAAAACAGAAATCTATTTTTTAATAGTCTGTTTTCGTGACTATGGTTTAGAAACGGGAATCTCAAGCTTTAAAATATAGGAAAGGGCATCTAAGATATATAAAGCATGCATTATAGTGTTACCTTTAGGTGGTTGATTCTACTTTTTAGACATCGTGGATTAAAAAATAAATACTTGCATCTTCATAAACTTAATAATACAGCCTAATGCAGCAAGGAGACTTTTTAAACTTAAACATAAACTGTCTAATTATTTGTTGTTACATTAATCTGCAATACAGAAGTATATTAGCAATACGTTCCTTCAAACTTTTATTTTATATGTTTTCAAAGGTAGAATAGTTAATTTAGAACATATACTTTACAGAGCAGATCGAATCCAAATAAACAGGAGCACAACAGACAATTAATATAGATTTAGCACGCATATTACTTTTATTGTAATTTTCTATAAATTTATTCTTTTTTTTTTAAATTTAAAAACATCAGCTCTTATTGTTTGAAGTAGACTGTGTATCTTATATTTTCATCTAAATTTACTTTTACACTGCTTCATCTGTCCGTCATAATGCCTTGTATACGCCCTCCAGTACAGTTTGTCTACAATTTCATACTGACAGTACGAACAGTAATTGTCGCTAGACGTCGAACATTTTCTGTGATTACAACTGTCTATCGGTGGACAAACTGTCAAATATAGATATGAATAGAAATTAAACTCTTAAAATATTACTACCTTTCGTAGTTAGATTAAAACAATGGCACCGTTTATGTGTGCTTAATTTCACAATAATTTCTGAGAAAATATCTTTAATATTCGTTCCTTGAGACCATCATATGTGCAGTTTGTTCATGAGGGAATATCATGAGAGTTTATTCATAAAATATTAAGAGTTTGTTTGTTTCCTCTGAGAATATATATTGTGTTTCGTCCTTAGGATATATATTTTATTGTATTTCATTAGACAATATTAAAACAGAGTTTTTTGTGGTTTTTATTTCGTCAGTTCGATTAGTTTCAATGTCTTTTACCTTTCAGAAAATACCTTAGAATCAATAAATCTTCATAATTAAATTATACCCTACTCCAAGGAAGTGGCATACCGTTTTCCCCATTCCGATCGTCTGTCACTTTTTCCTTTATAATTTTCGTCGCATTTTTGTTACTTTGCTTAACCATGTAACTTGTTTTCGAATGCATCGCTCGTCAACTGCCTATTAACCGAACACTTACATACTCTTCCACTTAATGGCAATGTACGAAATTTTCCGTCGCATTTTTTCTCAGGAACTATGAATCACAACACCCGGAAAGCAAATTCAAAGCTGTCTGTCGATACATCGAGAAAAAATATGGTAAAATAATAAGAAACGGTGGTCCAGTATTGTGATAGGATCGTGTATATACGTGAGATCTGGTATCGGATTGTGAAAGAAATCTTATCTAGAAGACACTTGCGAGGTCAATAGATATATTTATGTACTATAGGCGCATGAGTTTTGGATTATAAAAACGGGCTTATTGAAATAACAACTTAGAGTATTTAAAGTGGTGCGTGCACGAGAAAAGTTATAGACAAGGGCGGGGACCATCTTTTGAGTATCACGTATTTTGTGTATAAGAAGAGATATGTCTGAACAAGCCCGTAAGGAGTCAGTTCAAACTGACGGAAATTCAGATGAAGACGTAACCAATGCTGAACTGTTATGTTTGTTTAAGACGTACATGAGCAACATAGTCTTGCGAGAAACTTTGACGCTAAAACTATAGTTCGTTCTTATGTTGTACTGTTACACCACTGTCCCAGGTTAGGGGGAGGGTTGGGATCCCGCTAACATGTTTAACCCCGCCATATTCTGTAAGTATGTGCCTGTCCCAAGTCATGAGCCTGTAATTCAGTGGTTGTCGTTTGTTTATGTGTTACATTTTTGTTTTTCGGTCATTTTTTTGTACATAAATTAGGCCGTTAGTTTTCTCGTTTGAATTGTTTTACATTGTCATTTCGGGGCCTTCTATAGCTGACTGTGTGGTATGGGCTTTGCTCATTGTTGAAGGCCGTACGGTGACCTATAGTTGTTAATTTCTGTGTTATTTGGTCTCTTGTGGAGAGTTGTCTCATTGGCAATCATACCACCTCTTCTTTTTCATAATAATGAAAGAGCCGTTGAGTTCATTGAAAGCAAAAGGTGCGATAGAGCTACGAAGCTCCTTCGAGAGTCTACACAAACTTAACAAGCTGATCAGGATAGCCGATAAGTCGGAGAGTGCCTTGCCACGGTTCAATATTATCTCTCAGATGAAAGTGCGAGTGATTATGAAGATGAAAAAACGGCAATCGGAGCGGGGGAAATAGGAAGATGAGGTCGTTAAGACGGGGTCAAAATAAAGCCGTAAAAGACCCGCATAATCAAAGGAGCACCAAGTCAAGGTACACATAGACTAGGTATGCATATTTATATGTGTACTATTAAGTTATTGTATATCATATGACATTTACATGCCGGATCTTGAGAAATAATTTTTTCAAGTTTCAATTCATTGATTTTTTGCATTGAAAATTTGCCGAGTTTTCTCTAATATACATCTAATAACGTACCCAACCTTTTTACTACATAAAATGTGTTTAAATTGTTGATATAGGCAACAAATAGCACACAACTCCTTTCTTGATATGCATTGAGGAAAAGGAAGCTAAATTTCAGAAAAAAAACATCACAAAACGGCGAGAATGGCCGCGGTGAATATGGGCCAGTCACTGTATATTTTATAGCATGTAACGATATTTTTATAATCCGATGTTATATGTGCAATTTGTTCTGAGATTTAATTTAGTATAGTAAATCCTTCCGTAAAGAGAACTTACTTAAGCACTTTCCACCATATTGATAAAATCCATCTTGACAATTAGTACAGTAATTTGGTGATGAACATGTACCACCTCCACTATTCCTTGAACCACCGCCTCTGTATATTATTCTATCTGATGTATATGGTTCGTTACATGCATCATTTAATATCGTCTTCCCATTGCATACAGCTGCAAAAATGGAACTCTGCATTCAAACTACGACTAGCTTTATCAACGAATCCATTTAAAATTATAATTACATACAATAAAACTCCTTTACATGATACTGTTATCTAATAAGAAGATCACGTATTGTCTTAATAGTCAGCATTATTACGCATTCATTGGATTTTAATCTCATTTAAGTTGTCTATTGTTTTTTTGTTTTTTTTTTTTATTTAAAGGCTTCACTTCAATTTTATTAGTTTTAATTTTCAGAAGCTATTTTTTATTATGTGAGGGAAAATGTACATATTGTAAGGAAAGTCAGGCTGATACCCAGTTGAAATTGAAAAAAAGAAATGGAACTCTTTAATAGAGAAGGTAAACAATGTTGGTATATTTGAATTGTTTACATCTGTTTCTATTGGCTTTGAAATTTAAAACAGGTGCATAATTTAGGATTTTATGCATCTTTTTTACGTGTTTTTACTTAAATTAAAGTATGGAGCTTAAAGATATTTGTAAACTTTTCAATTAAAGACAAATTTGCACAAAACAGTCGATTGTGGTAGGTGGAAATACGTGTGGATCTTTCTTGTGCATAAGCATAATATTCGCCGAAAAAAATAAGAAAGATAAAACATTGATCTTTTTAAAGCATTAACTTGCATTCCTGCCTCCGGCGAAAATTTTTTGAAAAAAAATCTTATATTGGGCAATAATTTCATCGAAAAGAGAAAGTTGAGTACACCTTTTTATATTTAGGCGTATTTGAGTTGACTATTTTGTCTTGAAAACGTATAAATCAAGAATATTTGATACAACAACTCGTTTCATATTCTATAATTTTTATATATTTAGGCTACAGGTTGATATAATGACATTAAAAATCTACAGTTTAATTTTACATTACTAAAAAATGAAATATATGGGTCAAGTGAAATACCTTTCTAATGAGTCATAACAACAGAGTAGTTGTCTTTAAATAACATTTTTTTACTAAAAAAAACTTGACGACAGACTATACTTGTGGATCTTTTTTGTGCATTACTTCTAAACAAAATCATTTTTTGTGTGTTATCTAGGGTAATTAGTCGTCATCCTCTGAAAATGTTTAGTCAGCCCTTCCATGAAATATTTAATTAGATTCTTTTTAGTATTTTTGAATTTTCTAAACTTCCCCCCTGACAACCGATTAGACAATATTTTTAAGTTGACTAAAGGCCTAAACGTACATTAATGTTTATAGCTAGTAGATACATTTGAATTTTAAAATACAACTGTCATATAAGGATCGTAATAATGCTATGTTGCTAAATTGACAGCGCGTCATCTTTACAATGGCTTCCATTTTTACGATTGAAAAAAATAGGTGGCTTAATGGGGAGATGATTTGACGAAGTAGAATCCTGACTGAAGTAGTGTATAAAATATTGAATTTCTTATCAGGTTGTTTATAAGTTTATTTAGATCTAAGATATTATTTGATGTTGTTTATAGCAACATCAAATGAATAAGAGTTGTCTTTCAGTGAATAAGTGAGCTTATGATATCGGCTTAACTTCTGTCGAATAACGACGGGAAATCGCAGTTCTAGTTGTGATTCACATAATTTTACAGGAAAAAAAAACTTTTAATCCCCTTTTTCGATAAAAAGAAGCCAAACCCTGCATACTCTGTATCGGACTGTAGTGGTTGACGAGTTTTTTTTTTTTTACATTTCACTGTTTCACTTCAAAGTTTTTTTTTATATGATTCCCATGTACTTTGATGTAATCTTTGTTTCGTCTCGTCCAGCACTTTCAAAGTGCAAAACGGTTAACATATTCTTATGTTGTTTCATTGGTTTTCCTTTTTATTTCTATTACTGCAAAGATAAAAATGTTCGTGTCTCAAACTTATCGAATTTTTTAGCGAGCTTTTCTTTCACGTACTTTGATACGTGGACACTTTTACAGAGTTGTAAAAGGCAGAGATGATTGAATATCAGTTTTCGTTTCTGTCATGATTTCCTTGATAGAAGGCTGCTGCTTACAATGAAGCTGTTTAACCAAGAGTTTTAAGTGGTTAAGTTGAAATCGTCCCCTCGAAAACTTTACGGACGCCATCACGAGTTGGTTGACCGTTATGGAATATCTGTTTTTCAGATGACGACGGATATGCTCTTATTGTTGTAACCACAATTCCAATTTGTATCTTCTTAATGGATTGATGAGAATTGAACATCGGTAAACTACTATTGCCTTGAATTTTGTTCTACTGGAATCCATAAAAGCAAACTGTTTGATCCAGGTAAAATATAGTTGCAAGAGATGCATGCTTATTCCATCCCGTCTATTATTTTTCTGTATTTAGATCCCTAACGAGTATGATTTTTCCATAGTAGGATATCGTCACACATGTCACTACATAGATGACAGTGCTAGCGGCAGAAACGATATTTATTCATGGCCTTGTAATTTTTTTTTTACTTATGAGTTTGAATGTCCATTTGGTATCTTTCGCCTCTCTTTTGTTTTTACAAGAAATTATCGACTTTTGCTGGTATAAAAATCATCTTGTTAGCATGCAGGTGTCTTCATACAATGTCATGATCATATGTAAAGTTATTGTTCAGAATTTTTTTTGTACAGTTTGCCTTTTGCTGGTGAACCTTGGATAGTGTCTATAAATGACTCCATATACATATACTTCTTTTGAACTGACAGTTTGTGTTGAATAAAAATATATTAATTGTTTGTTTTCTCCTCACTAATGCATGTGTTACAGTAACAACATAAACGAAAACATGTTTAGTGTACCCGATGCGCATTTCGAATATTAATATACTAAAGTGATGCTCGAGGCGAAAATATTTGAAAATACAAACTTCAGTAACAATATTCTTGCTATTATCACCAGCCCAGTAACTAAACACTTTTTCAGAGGTATGTCAATACCGTTATTAGTGTGAAAAACATGTGCTTAAACATAACTTGAAGATTTATGTAGACATTATGGATCATACCTCTGGCGATTTCCATAGCTCTGCTAACTTAGATCTTTTAGCGGGCATTTCAGATTTTCAAAGTTTGTTTTAGGTTTTGGATTTTTGAACAATTTTCACATGGGGCATGAGTGAAGTAATATAATTTGTCAAAATGAGCATTCATTTAGAACATCAAAATTGATCCAAAAACTTAAGAAAAGATTTTGATTGCTTTCTACGACCACTATAAGGATGATTCTGAAGTCCTTAATTGACCATCATTCTAGTTTGAGATTTAAAAAGTCTTCTACACTTAAGGTTAAAGTGTATTATTTATTATGTATGCTCGTGCAACCTAGTCAACATATTCCTTTTGACAATCCACTAGTAAGTGGCCGGTCATACTGTTCTATCAATATCCGTATGTTCATTCTGTCATTCCGTCATTCTGATATCAAATGGTTATCCGGACTTCTTTTCATTATACCTGCAGATATGAATCTGATTATTGGGACCTAAATGCATAACGATGTCTTTTGGTGTATCGTTCCAGATGACCAACTTTTAGAAGAATTATGACCCTTGTAAAATGTACTTGTCAAGATTGTTTTAAACGCATGAAGATCTGGAACTGATGATTACCTTCAGGCCTTTCAATTATAAAACTTTACTCAGTACTAGGAGTACAAAACTTGTGTTTGTAACACCAAAATCTAGTGTAATTATTGGTTGATCTCTGAGACTGAGTACGATCATCATACTCAAAAGTTTTAAGATCGCACGCCCAGATCTAGTTTGTGTTTTGTGTTTTGTGTTTGTGTTTCTTTCCGGTTAACCTACTTTTGGGGGATTTATTCGCCATTGGACATTGACAATTGTAATTTTCCGGACTTTTTATATACCATATATTTGATCTGATCTGTAGTATAATGATAACTTACAGGTTGGGTTTGTGTTCCGTACCGGTTCAAAACATTTTCACGGAATTTAAGTTTGAAATCTATTTCTTGTGCTTAAAACATATGTCGTTCCATTTGACCGACGTTTCAAATTAAATTTTTAGGTTCTATCAAATTACCCACACTATTCACCCATCAATGCATTGCTACTGTGTTTGTCTCAGATACAACTCATCCTATATTTGAATTACCAGAAATGCATATTTCACAAATATGCGACAGGCATTCGTTTCGTACCAAAACAATTTTTTTAAAGACACCCTTAATTATTATTTTCAAACGCACATTGACCATCTTCTATCAAATTTATGTAAACAATTTATACATAGAAAATTTTTATTTTTAATATGAATTTTAAAGATCTTTTTTACGGGTCAATTTACTTTAAATTATTAATATCATGATTTCTAATAGAGTGTAATATATAATGAAATGTAAAAGTTAGGCTATTAAAGGTAATTGATTACTGATAAACGTTTCTGCTTTGCATTCGTTAATAGTAATGAATATAAATGAGTTGCAAACGTCAAAACCGCTTTGTTTGGTAGTATATGGTAATTTTGTTAGAATTAGAATATTTAAGATCAACACTTACGATAGCAATTACTATAGTGTTCATATCCTGAACAACAATATTCGTCGTACTGCTGGTGATATCTTCAAAAGCATGAAAAATAATTATAAGTCATAATACTATACTTTATTACGGATCTTCAGATATACGTTATAATACGCGATTGAACATGTTTTCATTTTTTACGTGTTCAATCTGTAAAGGAAATAGCCATACACATTTGGGCCCTGAAATTGAAATCATTATGAAAATTATTCAAACCTTTCAAAATAAATGTAATTCTAAATTCTGAACACTTTAGTACAGATATGTCATTTATGTTGTCCCTATGATGTTATAAACATGCTGAAATTGACATACTAGAAGAGGGACGAAAGATACCAGAGGGACAGTCAAACTCATAGATCGAAAACAAACTGACAACGCCATGGCAAAAAATAAAAAGACAAACAGACAAATAATAGTACAGATGACACAACATAGAAAACTAAAGACTAAGCAACACAAACCCCACCAAAAACTTGGGGTGATCTCAGGTGTTCTACTACTTGATCACTAATTTAGATATATATTATAGGATTCTTTAAATTCAAAGGAATAACAATATATCGTGATTAATTAAGAAATCACGCAAGAAAGTGTAGTATGAAAAGGTTTTCTAAAATTCTTTCCACAACGTTAAGGATGAATACCGCCCATGACACGACGTTTATTTAAAAAACGGAGTGGCTATTCGTCCGGCTAGCCGGACGAATAGTCAAAAATGTCTATTCGTCCGGCCATCAAATATGCGCGTGCGCGAATGTTTGATATCAGCAGCAGTATCATGCGGCGACTTTTGTCCCCGGATGAGGTATCGGATTGCAAACGCGCAAATGCGATGGATGTTTTAAGAAATAGAGACCGTTTTTATGATTTTGAAGATGTTTTGAAGAAAATAAGAGAATACGAAATTGCTACCAACACTAATTTTTATCGGAGAGACTCAAAAACTATAGCAGCTGCACGAAAAAGATGAATATTAAGCCAGAGTTGCTGTTTTACTCTATTATCTGTATACAAGGAGGCAAAACACATAAAAACTGTTCCTCGGGAAAAAACCAAACCAAAGGTAATTAAAATGCTTTTTAAAGAATGGTTTAATGGTTTTAAATTCCTACTTATAATTTAAACCAAGATCTCATGCTATCGGATTAAAAAACTATTTCTTGGTAAATGAGAGCGACCATTTTTTATTGTTATATTTTCATCTTATTTTACCAAAAAAAAACAAGTCTGACAATAGTTCGAATGTCTGAAATGACTAGACATAATATTTTCCCCGATATAAATTTACGGAACAGTACTTGCTTGTATCCGTAGTTGATCGAAGTTTTTAAGAAACTAACGATATCCGCCAGCAAACATCTAACCAAAGATGTTATTTAGATATTTTATATATATTATTCTGAGAAATGCAGAGGCATATTTAGGAGGGTGGGGGTCCCCAAACTGGAAAACGTTTGGTATGGGACATTTTAATATGAGAATTATATGCAATTCATTCTTTGAGAAGATAATTATATATATATTGATAAGTATAGATATCCTGAAAATCCGGGTCTGTGTGTGGCAGTTCCTGGCGTAACTATATAGGCACTAGCTACGGTTACATGGAAATGTAACACTAATAAAAATATTATTGTTACATTGGAGACTAATTTCCTGCATGCAGGGTTGGGTTAGGAACCGATTAATTACGACTGTAACAATAATAATTGAGTCTACGGTTACATTGCGTTATTGTTACATTAATGCACTTCCATGTACGCTGGGACTAGTAATACGTATTTAAAACAAAATTGAAAACTCTTATTTGAATTTTACTATATTGCATACAATTTTTCAATATTTTATTTACATTGACAAATTTCTACAAATTCAGTATATTGTTTTGGTAGCATGTTTTAGTCCGACGAATTTTGGTGAAACCACTCTAAGCAGCCATCAAACACAAATGATGCAGCAATGTCTGTATTGCAAACTGAACAATTCCATTCTGCACTATCCCTTTTTGAAGCTAAAGAAACTTTCAATATCTGTCATGATTTATGAATGTGAAAAATATTTTTTTCAGTATACTCTTGCAATTGTTTTTTTCTTCCAATATTTTTTGTTGGAAGCATGTGAGGTTGTATTATGATTAATTGCCGTCCATAACTGATTTTATGTTCACATCCGATTTCAATTTCCAACTTAGCATAGCAGCAAAAACCCAATAAAAAATTAATAAAACTTCAAAATACAAGTCAATTGTAAAGGCAATTGACATTTGCCGACATGTTGAAACTGGTGGAATCAGTGTTTTCAGATATATTGTGATTGTAATTTCGTTCTTTTTGGCGAAAACAAATAGGCAACAAAACTATAGAAGGTTTAAGTTTACTTGTAAATCTAGCGTACTTTGTAAGTGCATTTAATGTAACAATAACGCAATGTAACCGTAGACACAACTATTATTGTTACATTCGTAATTAATCGGATCCTTACCCATCCCTGTATTCCGGCAATTAGTCTCCAATGTAACAATATTTTTATTATTGTTACATTTCCATGTAACCGTAGCCAGTGCCAACTATATATAGATACCTGATAATTTTAACCCTGTACAGTTGTTGCAAACATCACATAATTTTATTTGTTTTTGTTCCTGTAAAAACACAATAGTTTTTGTTTATTTTTAACTTGGCGTGTACTGGTTGACACACACGCACAGTATATCTGCGTTATGAAAATTTCGACTGCAGATTAACTGATTAACCACATAGAAGTAGAATATTGTAAAACACATCTTTAAACTTTGTCCTAGTCATGAACAATGATGTTTAAAATGCTATAATAGTTTGGGATATAAGAAAAACTTCTAGGCAAGCCTTTACCTCCTGTACAAAATGCTGTAGTTAGGCATGGAAAATGCTAGTCCAAATTACTATGACGTCTTGAAAGGCTATTTTACTTTACTGCAAAGGCGTCAAACCAAAAAAATAAATTGCCTTTCTAGATATCATTATTATAAGGACTAGGAAAATGCAACATACAGCTTATTTTTTTTTTTTAAACCGATTATTTAAACATTAAGGTTCTATACATAAAGGCAGACATCTTTGATTTGAAAAGGGAGATTTGCAATGTTCATGCATTAAATTCTTAAAAAGTCTATAGTTATAAATGTATGTTCTTCATTATATACATGTACATCTGTATGTAAAAAAAAATACATCCAGGTAAGGAATTACAAATATGGATGTGCATGTTTCTGTGCAAAAACTTTACACAGTGTCGCTGGGCTTCTCATCTGCATGTTTATTTGTTTAATTTCAAATTAGTATTTTCCAAGATCAGATCTTTAAACCTTTGCCGCTTATCATTTCAGGACATTCAGGCAGCATTGTCAATCTAGTATCAGTTTCCTGTTGTCATGTGATGGACACTACCTGGAGTTGAAGTCTATTAACAATGAACATAGTCATGACACTTCTGAGGTAAATGTTATAAATGTTAACGGTCTAATGTTAATCCACTTCATTTGAACTTACAATGTACATGGCAATCTTAATTGACTAGGTTTATATAAAAAAGAAGATGTGGTATGATTGCCAATGAGACAACTCTCCACAAGAGACCAAATGACACAGAAATTAACAATTATAGGTCACTGTATGGCCTTCAACAATGAGCAAAGATCATACCGCATAGTCAGCTATAAAAGGCCCCGAAATGACAATGTAAAACAATTCAAACGAGAAAACTAACGGCCTAATTTATGTACAAAAAATGAACAAAAAACAAATATATAACACATAAACAAACGACAACCACTGAATTACAGGCTCCTGACTTGGGACAGGCACATACCTACAGAATGTGGTGGGGTTAAACATATTAGCAGGATCCCAACCCTCCCCTTACCTGGGACAGTGGTGTAACAGTACAACATAAGAACGAACTATAAAAATCATGGTGTAGTTTTATTTATTTCAGGCTCTGCTTAAACAACTGCCAAGAGAAAGACGACTTCCAAAGGAAATGACTGAGGAGGCAGAGTCCTTGATTTCTCTCAAAGTAAACAAGAAGCTGTTGAGAGACCATCTTGAACAGAAGACTGGGAAAAAAGTATCACTCAAAGATATTACCAATTTGCAAACAGTTATCAAAAACAGGTCAAAATGTCATGATGTTGCTAGCTTGGTAAAGAAACTCCTCATTGACCATGGTAACTATTTAAAAGTGACATTCATTGAATTATCATGATCCATTTTATTGTTCAAAATCAAAATTTCATACCATCCAAAATTAAATCATAAAATGTAGATCATTAGAGGACTCCGCCATAAATGAATGCTTTGTTAATTTAATATTGGTGAAGAATTGAAATTACATGTACATTGTATGAATAAAAGTATCTCTGTCAGTTTTATTTGACTTCAGCCTAATTTGCATAGTTAGCTGATTGATTAGGTCTGTTACCTATTTGCTTATCAAGGAAGACAACATGAAACAGTATATGCTTAAAAAAATGAATAAACTTATTTTTGATATACATAAAGTTCTTATGTATGCAGTTAAAACATTGATGTTGCCAAATAAAGATTACGACAATGAACTCTTTTTAATTTAAAAATCAATGTGTGGAGAAAATTCAGCTCAGTTTTTATCTATTTCAAATTATTTTCAACATACCTTTATTTAAAAGAAAGAGACATTCATATAATATACTGTATTATTTTTTTTTTAGAGAGAATACATCTTGAAGTAGATACAGAGAACATAAGAAAAACATGTTCATCTGATGATGGTACAGAAAACTTAGAACCTATTGGTAAGTACTGTAAGAATGCAGAAATAAGTATGTGTCTTGTAAGTAATAATTTTAAGGCGTAAGAATTTTGCAAGAGCCAACAAAAATTAATGTTTAGCTTTTCCTTCTCTTACTTAATATTAATTTATTTTTCATCTCATTATTAAATCATAGCCTGTAGTTACAGCGTATTAGGTTAAGATGTTTCTAAATACTGTTTTATATACATAACAAATATGAAACTGTTGATGAAGATTTTAACCAAGATGAGAAGATACAATTACGTTTTTGATGTGCTATCATATTTAATAAATATAAAAAAATCTGCCCCCATATTCAATATACCAAACTAATTGTGAAGTGGCCTTTTGACTGAAAATAAGATAATTGGTTGATACATTTATTGGTGACATTTGATTTATAGATAGTTGTCTCATTGGCATCATACCGCACTCCTTATTATGGCTAAGCATTTGTAAGTCAAATTGTCACACATTATAGTATTTGTTGCACAATATTTCAGTACCCAGTGACATAAAGTATCCACCAAAGTTATCCAGGAAAGGACGACCAAAAGGCAGTGAGAAAACTGTTATTGGTATAACAAAGACATCAAAGAAACATCACCTTCAGCCTTTCTTCAAGAAAAGTAGTGTGATAAAAGATTTAGGTAATCACAATTGTTTTTTTAAATGTTTGCTCTACTTCAAATTATGACAGGGTAATTTCAAAATAAAATATTTGGACTTATTTTTTGAAATGTACTTATATTTCTATCCAATATGAGATTAGAGTTTGGTTTAAGGTAGTGTGACACATTACAGTTCTAGTTAAAGCTAGCCTCATAAAATGGATGTGTGGTCACATCAACAAGTAAATAAAAAAATATTTTCATTATGATGTAAGCTTTTTAAAATATATTCCTAATAAGGGTTTTTTATCTAAAGTTTTGGAGTTCACTCAAAAATGAAAATGTGAGCTGGTCACAGTTTTCTATGGAAGCATATCTTGTTGGTGTGAAAAAGCAATATTTTGTTTTAGATAAAGTAAAGAGTATGTCTTATGTATAAAGAATATTGGCTTTGATATTTTATGACATTTAAAAAAAAAATGTTACATGGTATTTTTTCTCTTACAGCAATATTACAGTGGTTTCTTGGAGATGAAAAAGGAAGAACAGTTTTTGATGATAAAGAAAAAGTATTTCAAAATGAAGTCCAGGACCTTGCTTTTTCAAGTGCTCTTATTGATGACAGTGAAGACCTTTTAATTGTTGAAAAGTTTTTTACAAAAGAAGCAGTGATTGATGTGATGAGTGTAGTTATGAGAAATAATGAAAACTCATTTCACAAATGTAGTTCATGCACTATGGATTTGAATTTGAAAACTAATGTTGTTAAGTGCTCGTCCTGTCTAGGATGGAACCACTTGCCATGTGTATTTTTGAAAACTGTTCCAAAAGCTAAACATTGGTATTGTAAAAGATGTAAGCAAATCAATAAGTAAAGAGTTTGTCATCAAAGTTTGAAAGATGATACCTCCTACAACTTTCCCTTCCAACATTATGTCCAATAGTATTTATCATATTGTTCCTCATTACTTTTGCCATTTTTTGCTTAACACCCAGTCTAGCATAAAACCATGCAAAACAGTCCACAAGGGGGGTCATCAGATTTAATTGAAACTTTGTGTGCTTAAACAACATTATGAAAGAAGTCCATAAAACAAATATTTCAGCTGGTTCCCATGCCTTTCAGTTAGGAGATGCTGTAATGTACCGGGAACCAGTTTCCCCATGTTGGAGGCGGTAATTTTCTATGAAAATGACCAATTTCAACACCCTGAAACTTATGAATGCAGAAAACAACGAGATAAAGAACGATGATTAATTGAATAATAAAGTGTTGAAGCTTTATTAACTCATCAGTACTTGAATTTACGAGAAACAGTTTGTGGATTATTCCCAGGGAGATGATCCAGAAAAATAAATATTTTCAGAAAATCATAAAAAGTACATATTTTTAAAATTATCTAGCCTTTGGTCCATTAAAAATTAAAAGATAACTCCCTATGTTTTATCAATTGGAATACTTTATTATGCATTTTAGCTAGTAAACTTGCTGGGGTCTCATTGTAGTACATTCTAAAATTCTACTCTAAAAATGCCTAAATTTACATTTTCTCTCAATAAATCAATGAATTTAAGAAAGGTATTCTGTAGATAATTTTGGAAATGTAAGTGTTTCTTTTTCAAAAGCACTATAACATTTAACAAAATAAGTCAAAGTAACGATGACAATAGTTCAATTACAATTTATGATGCCATAAATATTGAATTTCTATGGTACAAAAGGAGATAATCCAGTAAAAATGCTTTTTTAAAAATCTTAAAATCACATTTTTTTAAACTTACCAGCTCTCTGTCCATTAAAATATAAACATATCTCTATTTGGTTATTTTAAGTGACAGAGTTAAGAATGCATTTTAGCATATACGATTGGTTTTAGTACTTTTTAGAATTCTCCTTTAATAATGTCCAAATTTACAATTTCTTTTACAGAATCAATGAATTTTAAATATCAATCTGTAGATAATTTTGGAAATATATAAATTTTACTTTTTTAAAACCTACGGAAGGGTATTAGGGCCATTCTTTTTTATTTATTTTTTTCAAATTGTCGATTTTAATCTTGGAATTATCAACTTTAATCTTGGAATTTCCAGCTTTAATTCTTGGAATTATAAAATTTAATCTTGGAATTTCCAACTTTAATCTTGGAATTATCGATAATTCGAAGATTAAAGTTGGAAATTCGAAGATTAAAGTTGTATTTTTTTTTGGTAGTGGTGTGCTATGTTTGTCTAAAACAATGTACCCATTTTTAGGCAGTTAAGCTGCCTTATGCGAGCACCCTAGATGTGTGTTCTACCCAAAAAATGCTGAAATACGTGCCATTGGTATTATCAAGGATTTGTATAGTGTATGACATTTTTTTTATACTTTTATTTCTGGAATACAAAAAATATGACCAGAAAAACCTTAAATGATCGTCGAACTACCCAAAACTTTTGAAGTTGCACATATGAAGTAGTGCTCAATAGAAATCCGTATGTAGTTTATTATCCCCTGTGCTTTTGGCTACAATGTCAAAGAACAATTGTATGAAATATTTCATCGCCGAAAATCGGTAATTACAAGTCGTTTATATTTCCCAAATGGCAAAATGCGCAGGAATATTGTTCATGTACAACAAATCTCTATGATAGAGGAAATAAAGTTATATAAGTGGGCGGTAATTTTTAACTTATCTTGCCAAATAAGGTTGTTGTTATTTTATGAATGAAACGAGGCCATGAAACAGATGCGGAAATCGACGTTGATGGGATGTTTTAAGTAATGTGGACAAAAAAATTGAAAACAACACGTTTAATAATTGCATGCGTCCGAAGCGCTTTTCTGGATTTACCTTCATCAGGAACGCTCAAAGCCAAACATTTGAAATCCGAGGATGTATAAGTACCGAAACAGTTGAAGACCTATATGACAAAAATACCTAAAAAAAATAGCCAAATTCATCTAAGGTCAACTTTGCCTCAGGGGGTTGAAACCTTAGTTTCTTTATAATTTCGAAATTTATAAACGGACAATTTTAGAAAGGTTTGTTATAAATCATGTCAGTACCGAAGTACTGACTACTGAGCTGATGATACCTCGTCCCCAAGACAAGTCGGACTGAATCCACTCAAACCGTCTAAGAAGACAACTTTGACCGTTTGTCAGATTTACTTAGGGTTTCATAAGATATTAGACTAACATGTCTAGCGGGGCCATAAATCTTTTGTTTGTGCATTGGGGTCTATTTAGGGGTATTTGGAGGGGCCTGAAGAAGGGAGGGGTTTACTATAGAACCCTATGGGATTTTATTTTTTAAAATTTTAAATTTTCAAATGACTATTTCTCGAAAACAGTAAGTGATAGACACATGCAGTCTTCAGTAATGAGAACAGGACAATAAAAAAAAATCCCTGGAGGTCATCCCAACCCCCTTCAATTTGAAAATGTACTTTTATCTTGTAAACCGTCGCGATCCCCACCCCTAAACAATATATATACTTGTATGGGACAATAAAAGAAATCAAATGAAAATAATTTGGGGGAGTCCCGGTTGTCGTCCCACCCCCTCCTGTTTGAGAACTTGGAAATGGTCGAGATCCCCACCCCTAAACCATATATATTCATGTATGGGACAATAAAATAAATCAAATGAAATATAAGGGGAGTCCTTTGGGTCACCCCACCCCCTCCTGTTTGAGAACTTGTAAACGGTCGAGATCCCCTCCCCTAAACCATATACATTTATGTATGGGACAATATAACAAATCAAATGAAATATATGGGGAGTCCCTGGGGTCACCCCAACCCCTCCTGTTTGAGAACTTGGAAATGGTTGAGATCCCCACCCCTCAACCATATATATTCATGTATGGGACAATAAAACAAATCAAATGAAATAATGGGGGAGTCCCTGGGGACACCCCCCCCCTTCTTTTTGAAAACTTGTAAACGGTCAAGATCCCCACCCCTAAACCACATATATTCTTGTATGGGACAATAAAACAAATCAAATGAAATTTAGGGAAAATCCCCTGGGGTAACCCCCACCCCCCTTCTTTTTGAAAACTTGTAAACGGTTAAGATCCCCACCCCTAAACCATATATATTCTTGTATGGGACAATAAAACAAATCAAATGAAATAAAAGGCGAGTCCCCTGGGGTCACCCCCACCCCCCTCCTGTTTAAGAACATGTAAACGGTCGAGATCCCCACCCTTAAACCATATATATTCTTGTATGGGACAAAAAAACAAATCATATGAAATAAAGGGCGAGTCCCTCCCCTTATATTCTTACCCCACCCCCCTTCAATTTGAGAATGTGCTTTTATCTTGTAAACGGTCGAGATCACCACCCCTAAACTATATATATTCCTGTTCGTCATTTCAAGAAGAATTGAATGACATACAGGGTTAATCCATAGTCGTCACTTATGCATATCACAAACCAATTTGTACTGGACTTTGCCCAATGTAGGCGACCATGGGAATGGCGAATTAATGGAGCTTTGTTTGGGAGACTTCGTAACAGCATTCATTATTTCAATAAAACAAATCAAATGAAATATAGGGGGAGTCCATGGTAACACCCCACCCCCTCTTGTTTGAGAACTTGTAAACAGTCAAGATCCCCACCCCTAAACCATATATATTCATGTATGGGACAATATAACAAATCAAATGAAATATTTGGGGAGTCCCTGGGGTCACCCCACCCCCTCCTGTTTGAGAACTTGGAAATGGTCGAGATCCCTACCCCTAACCCATAGGTATTCATGTATGGGACAATATAACAAATCAAATGAAATATAGGGGGAGTCCCTGGGTTCACCCCACCCCTCCTGTTTGAAAACTTGTAAACGGTCGAGATACCCACACCTAAACCATATTTATTCCTGTTCATCATTTCCAAAAAAATTGAATGAAATACAGGGTCAATCTCCTCGGTGTCACATATGCATATCAGTTTACTAGACCAAACCAATATGAATTGGACTTTGCCCAATGTCAGGAGACCATGGGAATGACGAATTAAGGGGGCTTTGTTTGGGAGACTTCGTAACGGCATCCTGTTACAATTATTTCTTGTTTATTATAAATTTTATTGATGCAAAAAATGAGTCTAGGTTAATTGAATTTACTTTAATTATTTATTAAATTATTTCTGGGCCTATAATAATTTTCATTTATAGCTCATTTTAAAGAATACATATAAATATTTCAAGCAGTGTAAAGCCCGAGAATGTTTGACCAACTGTTTTATAATCACCTGTCATTTTATTCCAAACTTGGTACGGAGTAACATCATGCATATGGGGGTGAAGATGGGGGTCATTTACATTGATATATGAGTTGCTTTTGAAAACCTTGATGAAATATTAATTAATTTGCCGTAATAATCAATTCATTTAATGAACAAAAAGGACAATATACGAATGTTTAATGTTTGTTCTTTCAAATCTTAAAAAAAACATTGAAGCAACACTGCCACAGTTTTCATAATAACGTTTGGAAAGTCAGGAAAATGGCCATTGTTATATTATAGTTCGTTTCTGTGTGTGTTACATTTTAATGTTGTGTTTTTGTTGTGTCGTTGTTCTCCTCTTATATTTGATGCGTTCCCTCAGTTTTAGTTTGTAACCCGGATTTGTTTTTATCTCTATCGATTTTTGAGTTTCGATCAACGGTATACTACTGTTGCCTTTATTTTTTGCCTTGGTTTTTGGTTAAATGCCTACAGCGCTTACAGTGCTTTGATTATATAATATTAACTAATATTTGGTACCTTTATTTATGTATAAAAATTGTGACCCGCCATGACATTTCCAGGCTTATCGAGGTAGAACGTCATTGTTATAAAAATGATAAATATCGAGATTCAATGGAATACGTATTTGTGAAGAAGAGATAGATACTTTACCTTACCTTGGCTTCTTTTTTGCGGACGCCGAACTATACATCATATATGAGTTTTGAAGAAGTTTTACTTTATCTTTTGAAATAAATAATATTTGAATCTACATTTTAAATAGATACTAAAAAAAAACAAAATCTCTGCTCTATAGATTTTCTTTCATAAATGGAGTCTGAAATTTATCCATAATAAATGCACCGTATCAAATGCATATAAGAAAACACCTACTTATAAACTGTTACGCGTCGCATACTACATTGTATGTATAGAGACATGCATAATATTTAAATTAAAAGACAAATTTAAAGAAAGGAATTCTCAAAGCTGACTTTGACAAATTTTAAACTAACTTCATTTCAACAAGTTTAAATTACATGTTCTAAAATAGAGCTACAAAAAAATCAAAATTCTCTGCTCTATAGAT